CGGGGTGTGGGGAGACTTCGGGGCTCTCTGCCCTACACTTATTAGCTGGAGTTCTTCCGTCAGGAGAAACTGCCCTTCTCCACCGGCTGTTTGTTTTTGGTGATTGCGTCAGCAGGGATTTATGGGTGTTTGTGTTTATGCTTGGGTTATAATCCAATTCTATCCTTTATCATCTTCAAAGCGTTCCGGCTTCGGCCACTGGGAGCGCCTTCAGGTGGGCTCCCGGGTGCTTTCAACAGCACCCGTCTCTTTCGAGCACTTCCTGTCTTCTGGTTCCACGAGATGCTCCGGCGCTCTTCCCTGCCCCCACCCGGCATCGACCAGTTCTCCAAGGATCCCTGCTTTCTTATACTGGAAAACGGTGCTGAAAAGCCAAGATTTGGGTGCTGGGGGGGGGGGGCGGTGCTCATGGAGAATGGACGTTAGTGTCACTGAGCAAAAAGAGCTCGAACCCACACATACACACACTAACCGCAGCACATGCACACGTCCCTAATTCTGTATGTGTGGACGCATGCACTGAAAGCAGATTCACAGCGGTGCCTGACTGCAATCCAACACCACCCACCCCGCGCAGCCCTGCTCTTCCCTACTTGTAACTTCTTGCCCGACAGCGAGAAACCGGACCCCTCGTCCACTGTGCACTTACGTGTTCATTCCAGCCTAGTGTGCACACCGCCTCAGTCCTGCTGACCCGCAGCCCCGTGTGAAACCAACTTACTTTCTACGGTACAGTATTTCAGCTGGTCCTTTATGTCCTTCAACTTCCGCATCCAGTCAAAACACCGTGGTTCTTTCCTTCCCCACCCCCTTCGGAGGGCTCGTTACTCCTTGTAAGAGAGGTAGCCTCATCTCTTCGCATGTCACTTCCCCCACATCCTGCCTGCTTTTCACGGACTGCCTTCATCTCTGCTCCTCCATTTCTAGTCCCCTTCTTCCCACCCCCACCGGTAACCCACCAGTCCCTTCAGTTTCCAGTTCATCCTTCCTGTATTTCTGTCGCACAAACGCGCTGATGCTGTGCATTTCCTTCAACCACCACCCTTCTCACGTGCAGGCAGCCTGCCGTTGACACGCTTGTGCCCGCCACCCTTCCACGCAACGTCCTGTTAGTAACGCTAACCGGACGGTTCACAGAGACCCTCCCGCCCCGCCACCGTTAGCGCTGCGCCTGATCACGGTGCAGGCACGCCGGGGTTCCTGTCACCACTCTCCCGGGGACGGGTACTGACGGTTTCCAACGCTGCGATGCCGAGTCACGCTCACCACCTTGTGGTGTGTATTTTCACACTGGTGGACGAGTATCCCAGGGGTAGATCCCAAGAAGCCGGGGTGCAGGTGTAGTTTCTCAGGTCTTGCCAGCTTCCCGCCAGAACTGTGTCGCTTTGCATTCCACCAGCGACATGGAGAGGGCCTGTTTCCCCCAAGCCTCACCAACAGGGTGCTCTTGCTGTACGTCCGCTTTGGGAATCTGGTAAGAAATACTACTCCAGGGGCGCGTGGGTGGCTCAGTCAGTTAAGTGGCTGCCTTCGGCTCAGGTCATGATCCCAGGGTCTGGGATCGAGTCCCGCACTGGGCTCCCTGCTCGGCAGAGAGCCTGCTTCTCCCTCTCCCTCTGTCTGCCGCTCTGCCTGCTTGTGCTCTCTCTCTCTCTGTTAAATAAATAAAAATCTTTAAATTAAAAAAAAAAAAGAAATATTACTTCATTGTCCTTTCATCCAGCATTCTTCTAGGTAGGAGTGAGTCTAGATCCTTTTTCATGTTGGAAAGTCGTTATCGTATCTTTTTGTAAATTAATTCTTCATGTCCTTTTCCCACCTCACCTGGTTTTGGGTCCTATCTCTCATTTCTTTTAACAGCTCTTTAGAAGTCACATGTTTCACAAAGGAACAAAGAGACAATGCGCTGCAAATTATTTTTCCTACCACTCTGTCAGTATTTACTGTTTCTAGTCTTTTCTGCCAAGCAAGAAGTTTTTATTTGTATGTTGTCAAATTTATCAGTCCCTTTTCTTATTGCCTCTGGATTCTGACTCATCGTTAGACTTGCCCTACATTGGTTAACAAGAAATCCATTGTGTGGTTTCTTTCTTTACTTCCTAATCATTTTGATTTCACTCTTGTGTATGGGCTGAGGTGGCATCTAATTTTTTTTTTTTTCCAAATGACAATCCAGCTGTTCCAGCGCCATTAAAGAAAAAAAAAGTCCTCCTTACCCAGTGACCTGAGACACCACCTTGTCATACACTCAACGTCCACATCGCTGGGGCCACTCTGCAGATTCTTCCCACTCCGCTGGTCTGTTCATACACGTGCCTGTGCTACAGCTGTGGTTAGAGACCCACGCATGCCAATGTGAGGAGGGTCAGTCCCCCTCGTTGTTTCTCCAGCTCTTCTCCTGCTTCCCTGGCTACTTCTGTTATGTTTGACGTTCCACATGAACTTCACTTGCCAACTCCGGAAAATAGCTAATATTTTTATGGGGCTTACTTTAAATTTATAAAATTAGGGCAAAGAGACATATTTATAAAGTTTAGCCATCCTATCCAAGAGCAGAGATGTCTTTCCATTTGCTCAAGTCTATTTTAGGGTCTTCAAAGACTTTCAAAATTTTCATTATAGAGGTCTGCACATTTCTGGGTTTCATTTCTAAGCAAACTCTTCTTTGTTGCTATTGTAAATGGAATTTTTCTGTTATATCTTCTAGTTATTGTTCAGGTATATGAAAGCTATTTTTTGTTAATTTTGTATCCAGTTACTTCCCTGACTTCTGGTGAGTTAGATCATGGATTCTCTGGGGTTTTCCAGATACACCATCATGTCATCTACAAAAAGAGATGGTTTTACTTCTTCTTCACCAATTGTGATGCCTGTGATTGCCTCCCCTTGTGCAGTTGCACCGGATAAACCCCCCCAGGGCGACACCGGACAGAAGCGGGGCAGGCGCTCTCGCCCTGTTCCTGATCTCGGTGGAAATGCCTCTGGTCTCTTCCCACAGTGAGACGCAGGCTTCAGGCCGAAGGTGTACAGTTCTTGTTATCGGGCCAAGGACGTATCCTTCGGAAGGCTGCACAACGATGCCAAGGTGCTTAACACCACTGAACCGCACACCCGAACACGGCTAAAATGCCAGATCACACGTGTACTTCACTACGATCTGTTCAGAAAGTATCTCTCAATTCCCATTTTCTTAACTATTTTTATCAAGAATATTGAGTTTCGTAAAAGACTGGTATTTATGAAGATAAGTGTGTGAGTTTTTTCCTCAGATGTGTTAATACATTATATGAATAGATTTCCTAATTTCGAACCAACCTTACATTCTGAGGATAAATCCCACTCAATCATGGGGTATTACTCTTATGTGCTGCTGGACGCCGGCTGCTAACATTTACTGTGTTTGCACTAATATTCATCACTCATACCGGTATATGGTGATTTTTTTCCTTTATACTGTCTTTAGCTGGTTTAAGTATCAAAGTACACTTGCTTCCTAAAATAATTAGGAAGTTTTCCTTCCTTTTCAACCTGGAATATTCTATGACACACTAGGACGCTCTGGTCTTTGAAGTTTGGTAGAATTCCCTTATGATGATCTGGACCTGTGGTTTTTCTGGGGTAGTTTCTTAATAACTCTACCAGTATGTATACATATTTTTAACATCGTGCTATTCGCGGTGTGTGCAATGACCCGCTTTCCAACAAGCACTTACTTACATCTGTGGTACTGGCTTTACAGACCTCTGGATATTTCACTTTCTTAGGTTCAAAGCAAGTTTCACACCAGGAACCAACGGCAAAAATACAGGGACCCTGGGCACACAGCGCCGCGAGGACTGTGAGCACACCGCGCTACAGGGACCATCAGCATAAGGGACATCACCACACTGTGCCATAGGGACTGTGAGCACGCTGCACCATGGGGACCTCGAGCACCCAGGGCTATGGGGACCGTGAGCACGCTACACCGCGGGGACCTCGAGCACCCAGGGCTATGGGGACCGTGAGCACGCTGCACCGCGGGGACCTCGAGCACCCAGGGCTATGGGGACCGTGAGCACGCTGCACCGCGGGGACCTCGAGCACCCAGGGCTATGGGGACCGTGAGCACGCTGCACCGCGGGGACCTCGAGCACCCAGGGCTATGGGGACCGTGAGCACGCTGCACCGCGGGGACCTCGAGCACCCAGGGCTATGGGGACCGTGAGCACGCTGCACCGCGGGGACCTCGAGCACCCAGGGCTATGGGGACCGTGAGCACGCTGCACCGCGGGGACCTCGAGCACCCAGGGCTATGGGGACCGTGAGCACGCTGCACCGCGGGGACCTCGAGCACCCAGGGCTATGGGGACCGTGAGCACGCTGCACCGCGGGGACCTCGAGCACCCAGGGCTATGGGGACCGTGAGCACGCTGCACCATAGGGACCATGAGCATGCTGCACCATAAGCCAGACCCAATCTGACAAGTTTAACTGGGCATAGGGCCAGCATGTGGGGGGACCTGCTATTTCTGCTCTTGGGGTCAGATAAAGAAAGCTGGAGAACAGAAGCAAACGATCACATGATCTTAAGTGAAGGACAGTGTCTTCCTTGTTTGCTTCGTAAAACAAGCCGAAAGCATGAAGTAGCACTTTGCACTGATTCGTAAAAACCACTTCATTTTCTTTCATCAGCATATTTCGTACAAGGAGCAGAGGCTCTGCGACGAGTGGTCTGTGAGGTGGCTTTCCCGCTCTGCTGGTGTCCCCCTCTGATAGTCTGTGTGCCGTCCCCTCAGAGAGCACAGACCTGAAATGACTGGCCCTGGAACTGCAGGCTCGCGGGAGCACCTCCTTTGTCGTCATTGTCCCTGCACGCGCTGACGCACACGAACCACCCGGCGGGGCACACGGATACAGATCCCTGCCCCTGCAGGCCTGCCAGGCCCCCTGGCAGGCGCTTTCCCCTCCAGACATCTTCCCTCTCCCGGCAAGCCAGCAAAAAAGCAAAAACCAGAGGAGCCATGAAAACAGCTTTATTATTCTAGTTTTTTCATTTCTTTGTCACGTAATTGGAACCAGCAAAGCATAACGCCAAATGTAGGGCTTGCAATTTTCTGCTTCAAAAACTGGCAAACCCCACTGAAACTCCTAGAAAGTGCCACTCTGCTTCCATTTCACAGTAAAAAGCCAGGATTGGGGGGAAAAAACGGAACAGCTTCTGACGTGGAATCAGTCTTTGTGCACGTTGGAATCAGTCTTTGTGCATGTTGGCCTCCCATCGGGCTCCCATCCCCTCATGGTGGCAGGGGTGATGGTCCTGCCCTCCGTCCCACACTGCCGTCCCCCCTTCCTAAACAGACTTCTTCAAAGGTACACAGAGCGGAGAAAATCTTTCTGAATACAGTACGATACCCAGAAATCAGAAATAAAAAGATGGGTAAATTTGGCTACAAAAAAAAAAAAAAAATCTGTACTAAAAAGCAAACAACAGGGGCGCCTGGGTGGCTCAGTCATTAAGCGTCTGTCTTCGGCTCAAGTCATGATCCCAGGGACCTGGGATTGAGCCCCGCATCGGGCTCCCTGCTCAGCAAGAAGCCTGTTTCTCCTTTTCCCACTCCCCCTGCTTGTGTTCCCTCTCTCGCTGTGTCTCTCTCTGTCAAATAAATAAGATCTTTTAAAAAAAATAATACTTTTTAAAAAATAATAAAACTAAAAAGCAAACGACATTTAAAAAGCCAAAAGGAGGGGCGCCACGGTTGCTCAGTCAGTTAAGTAACTGACTTCGGCTCAGGTCATGATCCTGGGGTCCTGGGATCGAGCCCCCCACACCGGGCTCCCTGCTCAGTGGGGAGTCTGTTTCTCCCTCTCCATCTGCTTGATGCTGCCTCTGCTTGTACTCTCTTTCTCTGTCAAACAAATAAAATCTTGGAAAAAAAAAAGCCAAAAGGAAAAATGGAAAAAATTTGCAATTCATACAACAGATGAGAGGCTAGAAAGATCACTTTCAACTCAGTCCCCCACTCTCCACAAAGTACACCGAAGAACCAGGCAAAGATTATTCACAGACAGCTCAAGTAAAGATGCTCTATCTCACTTACCACCAGATAAATGTAAATTAAAACTGCAATAAAAACTTCTGCCTCTGACCACAGGGAGCACGACAGCCCTTCCATCATAACCAACTGGAAGAGCGTGGGTCAGCAGTTCCTACGAAAGGCCACATCCGCGAGGATCTGCACCTAGAAGTAACTCCTAACTGCAGCACAGGAAGAGCAACGACCTCCTGAGTCAAGGTGGAGACTGGAACTCAGGCAAGGCAGCTCAAATCTGGGCCAGAGCGCCTAAGAGAGGGGTCCTCACACATGGCTGCACCCCCACGAGGCCAGGGAAAGTGAGTTCTGGTAACAATCTCCATGCATCCCTTCCGGCCAGTGCATGGACTTCACTGAACTTGCAGGGTGTCCAGCAGGGACACCAGGTGGATGGCACCTCAGAGGTGGGACTACTCCAGATCCAACCCCCAAGGAACTCAAAGGACTGGCTTCATCCACAGCGTGCCTGCCTACCAGAGCAAGCGAATGTTCTTTAAAGGAATATAACAAATTTCAGCACTCCACCATGAAGACACCATGGCATCAGGCAGTCAATCAGAAACTTTTTAGATGTACTCAAGTCCCTGTATGTGTCCTATAAGCAGAAAATAAACAGTCAATAGAAGCAGACCCCAAAGTGTCAAACACAAAGGAATTAGCAGAAAAGGAAAGCAATTATTCTAAACGGGCTCAAATGTTCAAGGATTTTTTTTTTTAGTGAGCATGAGCAGAAGAGAAATGGAAAACATTTTTTAAAAAGCAAAATAAAAAAATACAAGATAATAAAAAGCAAACTTACAAAGATGAAAATTACAGTATCTTTCTTTTTTTAAAGGATTTTATTTTTAAGTGTTCTCTATACCCAACATGGGGCTCGAACTCACAACCCCAAGATCAAGAGTTATAGGCTCCACCGGCTGAGCCAACGGGGCCCTCGTGAAAGTTACAGTATGATACAGAAAATACTCGGCCTTGGATTAACAGCAGCTGAGATGCCACAGAAGAGATCAGGGAACCTGAAGGTGTAGAAACAGAATGTACCCGAAATGAGGCACCAACAGAAAACAGCCTGAAGCAGAAGAGCTGAGGCTCACCGACAGAGGCTTGCCGACTGGGGTGTGTCCACACCCAACAGTCTGAAACACAAGAACCCGAACTGCAGACTGCACAAGATGGGGAAAGTGAGATATTTGAAGAATAATAGCTGGAATTTCCAAATTTGATAAAAACTTCAAATCCACAGGTCTAACAAACTCAACAAGCCGTAAACACGATAAACACACCCCCCCAAAGCTAATCATAATCAAATTACAGAAAACCACTGATGAAGAGAAAAATCTTAAAAGCAGCCAGAAAAAAAAAACGATGCATTTTCACTTATGTTGGGGGGAAAAAAAGAAGGTGTATCAGTCAAGAGATAGAAACCACACAAATAATCTGGAAAAAGAAAAAATCTAATATAAAGACCTATTGAATAGTAACAGGTTCTCCACTGAAGCGTAAACCAACTGCAGAGAAGAGAGGAATGTGAGGTCTGGGAGCAGCCACCACCTCCAGAGCTGTGACAGAGGGTCCTGGAAGGAACAAACGTGGAGAAGCACCGGACCTCAGCCACAGTCCTAGCATCCCACCAAGGCCAAGAGTCGAGCCCCATTGGAAGGCGCAGCTGTGATGTACCGGCTGGTGGACTTTGCCGGGGATCGAAAGCCTCCTGCCAGGGTACCCCAAGACTTGCTGGGAAGCCGCCCGCCGGGGCACCAGCAAGACGGACCAACTAGGAGCTGAGGGTGCCAGGACACAAGCCGGAAGCCTCCCATGGGGTGCCATGCAGACCCACCGGGAAGCCGCCCACTACCTGGGTGTCATGGAGCATCCCCCGTGCTCTGGCAGGCACACACCCCAGGAGCCTGGGAAGAAAACACTGGAACCCAGAGCAGCAGCCAGTCCTCCGGCACTGAATCCCCAGCTCTCTCTACCGACCAAGCTTGTCATCGTGCCAAGAAACAAAAAAAAACTTTACGGAGTCCAGCGGCAGGGTCACAGAGCCAGGCAAAGCAGGACGCCCGGGCCCTGGAGGCAACGTGTCAGTAACTGGCACAGAAGGAAACAGACCGCTGGAGGAACCTATCAGGCCAGGAGACAAGGCGGGAACACTGCTAACAAAATGAAGTCTTTTTAAACTATCCACCTCGAACTATATCCAGTGAAAGTATCTGTCCACAGTGAAGGCCACAGAAGCAGTCAGTAGCCTTCCCAATACATGGTGCTGGGCAGGTGCTTGTCCATAAAAGTGAGCTCATAATGGGTCAGGGACTTAAATGTAAAATGTAAAATCATGAAACTTTTAGAAGACTCCTAGGAGAAAACTTCTAGGATCTAAGTCTCAGCAGAGTTCTTAGACTTGATACCAAAAGCACCACCCATCAAAGGAAAAGCAGATAAACCGGATCCCAACGAATTTCAATACATTTGCTCTGCTGAAAACCCTGTGTGAAGGAGATGAAAAGACCAATCACACGCAGAGAGTTTTGTAAACCATGTTTCTGGCAAAGAACTTTATACTAAAGGACTCGCAGAACTCAGTAGTAAAACACAGTCTGTTAGAAAATGACAGCTGAGGGCCATAAGGAGGGCACTTGCGGAATGAGCACTGCGTGATATATGCAGCTGATGAATCACTAAACTCTACCCCGAAACTAGCAATGCATGGTATGTTAACTCAATTGAATTTAAATTAAAAATTTAAAAAGAGAAAGGAAAAGAAAATGACGTGTGTCGAGATCAGACATCTCACTGAGGACGCACAGAGGACACCCAAGCTCGTCCACAGACGGTCGCCACCACCGCCATCAGGGAAATGAAAATTAGAGCCACAATAAGGTAACACTGCACACCCATCACATGGCTAAAATTTAAAACAGGGATACACCATTGGGGCGCCTGGGTGGCTCAGTCATTAAGCGGTCTGCCTTCAGCTCAAGTCATGATCCCAGGGTCCTGGGATCGAGCCCCGCATCGGGCTCCCTGCTTGGCGGGAAGCCTGCTTCTCCCTCTCCCACTCCCCCTGCTTGTGTTCTCTCTCTCACTGTGTCTCTGTCAAATACATAAATAAAATCTTTAAAAAAAAAAAAAAAAACAGGGACACACCAAACGCTGGTGAAGATGCAGAGAAACTGGGTCGGCCACACCCAGGCGGTAGGGACATAAAATGGTACAGCCACTCGGGGAAACAGCGTGGTGCTAACAAAGCTCCGCGTGCTCTAGACCCCCCTCAGTTGCACTCTGGGGCTTCATCCCAGTGAAAGGGACACACATTCACACACACACTCCCGCAAATATCCACAGCAGCTTCATGGATGATCGTCAAACACGGGAAGCGCCTCATGCCCACAGGCCACCAGGAGGCACAGCGCGCAGGAGCCAGAACAAACAAGGAACTCACGCACACGGCAGAATGTTCCAGTGCCATTAACAAAGAATCGACTGTTGACAAAACCCACAACTTGCACGAGTCTTCAGAGAACTGTACTGAGGGAAAGAAGCCAACCTCAAAAGCTTGCACGCTGCATGGTCCCAAGAATTCAAGTATCAAATTCTTGAAAGCAGTGATAACGGACACGGAGGACCGCTCAGCGGGGCAGGGCAGGCGGGAGGCGCAATGGCGACACTGGGCAGCCCGGGGGACGTGGGTGATGGGAACGTCGATGCTGTCCCCTGACCACAGCGTTCACACGAATCCGTAGGTGAGAAAATACTGCAGAGAACGTACACCGCACACAGATGAGCACATGCAGAATGGAGGAAATCTGAGGAGGGATGTGAGGCCCACGTCCACCGCCTGGCTGAGCCTCTCCTGTAATCACACAGTGAGTCGTCCTTGGGGGAAACGGTCAAGGAAGATGGGACCTCCTGGATTTTTTAATCTAACAGCTGCCTGCTAATGCACAATTATCTCAAGGTAAAAAGATTTTTAAAGCTAAGGTGATGGGGCGCCTGGGTGGCTCAGTCGTTAAGCGTCTGCCTTCGGCTCAGGTCATGGTCCCAGGGTCCTGGGATGGAGCCCCGCATTGGGCTCCCTGCTCGGTGGGAAGCCTGCTTCTCCCTCTCCCACTCCCCCTGCTTGTGTTCCCTCTCTCACTGTTTCTCTCTGTCAAATAAATAAAATCTTTAAAAAAATAAAAAATAAAAATAAAGCTAAGGTGAGAAAAGTTGGCTTGTTTTTTTTTTAGGACTCCTTAGCAGGTGAGCTGCGATAAAGTGCATCTACACAAAGGAATAAACAGCCCTGCAAACGGTAAACGTGTAGGAAAATGTAACTTTTTTCTCCTTTCCAATCTCCTGAGAACACTGCCGTCCAGCAGCGCCTCCTGCAACGGCAGAGACAGGCTCTTCCCGGGCTGCCCAGCGTGGTGGACACGGGCCGCACTGGGCTGCTGAGCCCAAGGAACACGACTAGTGGGACTGAGGAAGTGAATTTCAATTCTCATTTGATTTTAATTACTTCAATTAAATAGCTCCACATGAGACCACCTGCTGTAGGGGACAGGACGGGGATAAAGCAAAGATAATTACGGTGTGTTGAAGATTTTACACATAAATGGAATTCGGTGTGTGACGACAGTCTCGGGGCCCCTGAGACACGTCCGGTCTGCGATTCCCTGGAAGGACCCCAGGGCTCAGCCCGTCATCACACTGACGGCTGGGATTGACTACAGAGAAAGACAGAGCACCGTCAGCACAGGGAAAAGGCACACGAGATGGAAGTCTGGGGACACGAGGCACAAGTGCCAACAGTGGACACGTGATGGGCTTCGTGCCAACAGAGAGTGGTGACAATTGTGAAGTGTCGTGGCCAGAGATGCGCGTGAGACCTGGTGCCCAGCGTTTTCACTGAGCCTCTGCCTGCCATGCACGAAAACTCCAGACTGCCAGAGGAAAGCAGGTGCTTTACACCTGTGCCGCCCCGAACTGCCTGGGCGGGAGCCACTCCTCGGTCAGGGGGAGTCTCCCCCTGGTCTGGGCAACCACTGGGCAACACCGGCCAAGGGCCACACTGGCCAGCTGGCCTAAGGTCGCGGTGCTGGGCCTGCCACACACTTCGACAGCTGGAGAACAGGAGGGGAACGTGGTACAGTATCATTCGAAGGCAGGCCATGAGAATTGAAAGCTGCATATTTCAACGCTAATCGCTAAAAAAGGAAAACAGGTCTATAGTTAATAAACCCAAGAATGCAATAAAATGGGATATTAAAGAACTATTCGATTCATACCAAAGGAAGCTGGGAAAGAGAAGGGAACAAAACGCACGGGACAAGGAGAAAACAAGTGACAAGATGACAGCAGACCCCATAGCAATGAAGGTTAACTGCACATAAATGGCCTATGTCCCCTTGGAACACCAGCGGCCAGGCGGGGCCACCAAGCATTGAGACGCGGCTCATCAAAGCTGGAAGGGTACTAGAGCATGAAATACACACCAGATTTCCAACAACTAACATTAGAAATAGAAAATAAAATAGTTCATGAGTAATTATACAGAGCCCATGTTGAAATATTTTTGCTGTGTTCAGCGAAATAAACTATATTTTCAAAAATTAATTTCACCTGCTTTTTAGAAAATTTTCAGAATGACTACTGGAAATTTCTAAATTACTTATGTGGCTCAGGTTGTATTTGCACTGAAATCCAGTATTTTGGACATAAAAATATGTTGTCTGCAACAAACCCGCTTTATTTTTTTTTTTAAGATTTTATTTATTTCTTTGAGAGAGTGTGTGAGCAAGACAGAGAGAAAGAGCACAAGCAGGAGGGAGGGGCAGAGGGAGAGGAAGAAGCAGGCTCCCCGCAGAGCAGGGAGCCCGATGCAGGACTCGATCCCAGGATCCCGGGATCATGACCTGAGTGGAAGTCATACTCTTAACCAGCTGAGCCACCCAGGCGCCCCAACAAGCCCACTTTAAATATAAATCCACACATCTGAGAAAAGCAAAGGGGTGGGAAGAGGTCCCACGAACACGCACTGAAGAAATGTGCATCTGTGTTATAGCATCAACCATCCAAACCTGAGAACAAGACAGACCTAGGGATGAGAAGGAACATTTCATAACCGTGAAGAGGTCGTTCAACAAGATGATGTCACATTCCTCGGTGAGGGGGCACTAATGTCAGGATTTTTAAATATATGAGGCAAAACCCAGTAGGACACAGAGAACTAAACAAACCCACACTTACATTTAAATACGGATTTCAGTAATCGATAGAAGACCACAAAAATCAGGAGGAGGACTGTTCTTCCAGCTGAGGACAACCAAGACCGTCACCAACTGGACCCAACCACGCCACGTGAGCACCCTCCGGCCAACAACTACAGAACACGCACTCTTGTCACGTATGTGCGAGATAACCACCGTGCCGTATGGCATACAAGGCTCAACGAATCTAAAAAGAGTGAAATCAAAGTATACTCTGAGACCACAATGGAATTAAAACAAGAAATCCGTAACAACAACAAAAAACCCGGAAAAATTCGATGTTTATAAAACTAAACTACACTTCCAAATAACCCACAGATCAAAGAAATCACAAGGGAAGCTAGAAAAATACATGTCAACACATCCAGGGTTCAGGCTACGGTGCCGTAGGAAACAACAGCGTTCTAGATCAGCGTCAGAGCGAGGCGCCTCCGGAACGGCTGGCTCGGGCCGGCCAGTCGATGCTGGCTACTGGCAAGAGACCCCGGCTCCTTGGGCCCGTTGGCCTCTTCACAGGCTGCCTGAGCATCCTCATCGCCTGTGGCGGACAGCCGCCGGAGCAGGCGATCCAAGCGCTTCTTTAAGGTGCCCTTGCCGAGAACAAGATCAAATTTCAGTCTGCACACGAGGTGGGCAGCTTCACCGGCTCCCACACCCCAGGCCGTAACTCCCGAGTTTGTGCCTTTGCAAAACTGACCACCACCACAACCCAAATGCTGAGTGTTGAGAACGCACCGAATTTTACAGTCCATAGTGAGGGGTTTGAAGTAACAGGCAGTACCATCTAAACGAAACATCTGCAGAACTAAGAGCCAGCAGTTCTCCTGAGTAGGTACCTAACAGAAATGTTTACATATGTTCCTAGAGATGAGAACCAGAATGTTCATCGCAGCCAAAATTTGGAAACTATTCCAAAGCGCACTGACGGAACAGACATGCTGCTGTGGGAACAGTACACAGAAACTAGAGTGAACCATCCAAAACCCGCAGCCCCAGTGCAGATCACCAAAAGAGCTGAGCCAAAGTGGCCTGAAGCAACACAAGGCAAGCCACCTGCTGGCCTGGCCGCCAGCTGTTTCCGGTGGGCACGGTACACATGCGCATTCAGCTGGCAGCCGTCTAGTTGGTGCATTCTACATGCGCCTTCCAGCTGTAGCTGAATCAAAATGTACGCAGGCCAAGAAAGTGCTGAGAATTGAGAAACAGGACAACCAGATTTTCTTTAAAAGATTTTATTTATTTAGAGAGAGTGCACACGTGAGTGCTCACGCGTCCATGCACGTGCGACTGGAGGAGTAGAGGGACAGGGAGAGAGAGAATCTCAAGCAGACTCCCTACTGAGCACGGAGTCCGACACGGGGCTCCATCCCACGACCCCGAGATCGTGACAGGAGCCGAAATCAAAAGTCGGATGCTTAACCAACTGAGTGAGCCACCCAAGCAACCCACGACCACCAGATTTTTTAAGTCAATACATGAGCTGGGGGTGCCTGGCTAGTTCAGTCAGTAGAACGTGTGACTCTTGATCTCAGAATTATAAGTTCGAGCCCCACGTTGGGCATAGAGCTCACTTAAAAATAAATCTTTTAAAAACTAAATAAATGAAACAGACCCAAGGAATCTCCCCAAAACGTAAAATACATAAAAACTAAAAAAAAGGGTGCCTGGGTGGCTCAGTCGTTAGGCGTCTGCCTTCGGCTCAGGTCATGATCTCGGGATCCTGGGATCGAGTCCCACATGGGGCTCCCTCCTTGAGGGGAGAGCCTGCTTCTGCCTCTCCCACTCCTGCTGCTTTTGTTCCTGCTCTCGCTGTGTCTCTGTCAAATAAATAAATAAAATCTTAAAAAAAACTAAAAAAAAGCGGAAAATAGGAGATAAATAAAATTAAAGAGGCGTGTAAGGAAGCTCAATCCTTGGCTCCCATAGCTGGTCAGCAGGCGAAACGAAACCACAAACAAAAGGCTCTGCTTTGAGCTCAGCAAGTCAGCCACGGGAGAAAGTGGGCATGAGACGTAAAAGCCTTCAAACACAGCACACGGTCATCACAGGTCGGGGTTCAGAGCGACCAACCGAAAAAGAAATGTCTGAGGCAGCTGGGGGCCTCCAGGTATGGACTAGTTACCAGGGTCCCCGAGAACATGGCTCCCTCACCTTATGGAGGGACTCATTCCAGAGGCATGGACAGGGTTTCGGGACCAGGAGGCCACTTCTGCCCCAAACAGGTGCAGCCCCCCGGGAAGGCTGCTGCGGCAGAAGGGGGAGCTGTGCTCCCTCCTCCCACTCCCGCCTGCTGCCGGAGCCCGAGTCAGCATGTGCTGGGACAGACAGGGGACAGAGGCACCAGTGTGGGCCAATGGAGCACGACCCATCGGCCGGCGTGATCACTGCTGTCGGCAGTCCTGGGGCTCGCGGAGGACATGGGCTGTACCAAGATGAACACGAGAAACGAGCTAAAAGCAGCAGCTGGGAGACGGGATGGGGAGAAGGGCACAGAGCGGGTCACTGTCACAATCAGTTGGCCAAGAGAGTTTGGTCTCCGTCATGTGCACGTGTGACCGTGACAAGAATGAAAGCAATTTGAAAGCAACCACGGGAAAGACGGTGATGGCCATGGCCCCCTCCTACTCCATTCTGATCCTGACTGGCTGCTCGGCACGGCCTCGTACTGACAGGCATGTCTGAGTCTCCCCATCAGGTGCAAGAGGACCCACCTTACACAGCCCCTAGCTCCGGCCAGGTGACCCAGGGACCCCTCCCAACCTGGCCCTGTTTTACAAAGACACCTGCCCACAGAGAACACGAATGAATGTTTGGTGAGAAAGAAGATCAACGTGAACACGGAAGAATACGGTTTGTTCGGTCTTTAAAGAAATGGACCAGTTCATTTTAAAACTACACGGATTTAATGGGGCGCCTGGGTGGCTCAGTCGTTAAGCGTCTGCCTTCAGCTCCGGTCATGATCCCGGGGTCCTGGGATCGAGCCCCGCATCGGGCTCCCTGCTCGGCGGGAAGCCTGCTTCTCCCTCTCCCACTCCCCCTGCCTGTGTTCCCTCTCTCGCTGTGTCTGTCAAATACATCCACAAAATCTTTAAAAAAAAAACAAGACACTACAGATTTAAAAGAGATCTTAAAGAAGGATCGGCAAACTTCTCCGTGAGAGCTAGACCACAAATACCTTGGACTCTGCCAGCCACTTGGTCTCTGGGGCAACTGGGCCACCCTGCTGCTGGAGCACAAAACACACGGAGACGGTACCTAACGAACAGGCCAGCTGTGTCCCGGCAAAATTTTATTTAAGAACGCTGGAATCTGAATTGCATATGACGGTCACATGCCACGAAATACTATTTTTTTTAATTTGTTTTCAACCATTTAAAAACGTAAAAGCCATTCCGAGCTCACAGGCCATACAAAACCAGGCAGCGACAAGCCTTGGCCTGCAGGCCACTTCACAAGACACCAAAAAGACCAAACCAAAGTTCCTCCTAAAGCCAAGAATCTCAAAGCAGACTGTCAAAGAGAACTCTGCCTGTGCCCAGGGCAGTGCTAACGAGGCTCCTACAGGAGGACCCGGGCCCCAGCACCCCCATCCTGGCCCAGGCACGCCCCCTCTGCTCCTTGAACAAAACACTTCTGCCCTCGTGGGAAGGGACCTGAGCAGTTCACACACAGCACTGTGTTCGGATCAATGTGTACAGCAAAACAAGGCACTTAGGGAAAGCTGAAGCATTCCAGCTTCTGATACACAAAAGCATTTGTTTCTAGTATCCCAAAAACCCCTCACCGAAGTCATCGCGGACACACACGGGTTTCCCGTATTCGAGACCAATCACCAGGAAGTGGGTAGAAACACAGATAACCAAAGCAGCAGAGACAACTACAAAGCCCAACCACCAAAGGAACGCTTCTTCGTACTACGGAGTCGTTTCAGTCACAAACAGTACACGCGTCAAAGATGGTTTTGCTCAGTGTATTTTGGAATCAGTTCCCGATGCTGCTGCTACACATTTCCAGAAGCTGCACAAGCTCATCTTTATTAAGTGGTGACTAGAATTCGCTTGACACCCCCGGTCTCTGCATCGTGTGCACAGAGCTCACAGGGAGATCACACGCGCGTGCCGGCCGCAACCACTTCCCTGCAGACCTCCGTTACGGCCGGGGCTCCCGGGTCCTCGCGCACCCCGGGAGAAGCCGAGTCTGTGCCCTGCGCCCCCACTGAGCCCGCATCACGTCGGCAGCAGCCGCACTTACACGCGGGGACCCGGCCCGGGAGCAGCGCGGGTGCTGACGGAGGAACGGAGTCCTCCACCCCCCTGGCCAGTGGCCCCTGTGCCGGACAGCGCGGGACACCGTCCAGAGGGAGACCCGGGGACAAAGCGTGTCTATCGCGCGGCCGTAAACACGTTCGGCATGTGGATCTCGCTGGAGGAAAACGCGTCCAGCGTTCTGGGAACAGTGCAACACCGACAGCTGCCACTGCGGGTTCCGATTTCCTCCAATATGAAGAAAAAGTGCTTCCAGGCACTTGCACTACTCACTTGTAGTATCTCTAGCTGAGTCACACGCGGCACGGCTTCCCTTCAGCCAGCGGGCGCCCGAGACACCAGGCAGGGGAGCCTCTGCGCAGCGGCAGAAAGTTCTAGAGCCCAGGACACCCACCCATTCTCTGGGACGGCCGACGTGTGTGCTGAGCTGGTGTGGACCGGACTGTCACCAAGCATGGGTCGGGAACGACATCCCCCTTCTGCTTCCCAAAGGGAGCCTTCGGCAGGGAGGGGGCAAGCACAGTCGGCGTGGCTAGGACGAGCACCTCAGGGACGCCTCCCCTGGCTTTATCTTCTTGGCCTGCCCATTGGGCCCAGGGGGCAGGTTCTGCCGCCGCTTCTGCAGCCTCTCCTCCTTCTTCCTCAGGTAGGCTGTCATGTTGTCAAAGGTGGCCTTGTAGAGACCGCTGAAGCCCACGTCCACGCCAGCCGCACCTGCGCGGGAGGAACAAGAACAGAAACTGGGTGGGACGGGGACCCGTGTGCCTGCGAGGCCCTGGGGCGGCGGGACTGGCCGGGGCTCGCGGTGGACTTGCACCGCCTGCTCCGAGGCGCCCCCGCGAGGCCCACATCCTGGTGGTCACGCCAGCCGGACCTAGGATTGCTTCTAACACAACACACCAAAGCCGGGTCACCGCTGGGAGACGAGGCACAAGGGCTGTGGCTTGCACGCTCATTCTGGTGGAGCTGCCCCCACGCGGAGAGCCGCCCCACAGGGGCCCTTGTGCTGGGGACTGAGGGCAGCCTCCAGCCAACAGCCAGCGAGGGAGTGAGGCCCTCGGCCCAGCAGCCTGCAGGGACCAGCACGCTGCCAACAACTGCTCGTGCACCTGGAATCAGACCTCACCGCCAGGGAAGTGGTCCTCTCAGGACAGCACTGGGACACTAAGCTTCAGGACCCACACAAACAGCAAGATAAAAAGTGGCGTTGTTTTCACCCGCTGATGGCAGGTTACTTGTTACACAGCAACGTAACAGATGCGGACTGATCTAAGTGTCAAGAGTTCAGAGGCATGATGACCACAGACCAGCCCCACAGGGTCGACCTCACCCTGGCCAGAAACTCCATAGGGACCGTCGGCAATGTGCCCGCCTGTGCCCTACACGGTGACCTCCCCACTCACTCCGGCTTCCCTACGCCTCCTGTGACTTTCAAGCTCAGCTGGCCTGCCTTCCCCATGCTCTCTCCCCCTGCACCTTCCCCACCCCTGCACCGTGAACAGGCTGTTTTATCTGCAGAAGCTCAGGGAAGCTAAGCCCGCCCCGGGCTGGCCCTGCCAGGCAACCCACAGCAGGACGTGCTGGCCCCAGGCCCCGGCAGGGAGGACAACATGAGCCAGGCGGGGAGCAGGCTCGTCAGTGTCCCCGACACAGTCCTGCCACAGATCCGTTCCACAGTGTTGCTGAAGCAAATGCACACAGTGCTGGGGAGGACGGAGCCCTGTCACCACCCTAGTCCCTCCACTCTAAAAGGAAGGATGGAAATTAACCCCAGAACCCAGAACCAACAAATCACCTCAAGAATGCCTTCCATGAGACATTTAGATCACTGCTAGCTGTCAACAGAAACGGAATTTATGTTTGAATGTCCTGAATTCCGAGGAACTCTGACTTCTCCCTGGGGAATACTTTTGAAAGAAATCTTCTAAGCAATAATTTGTGTACTTAAATGAAAGCGTCTGACTCCCAAAGCTGGGTTACCAGTCATCCTTCTGACAGACGCTTCAAATCTCTGCCCAAGAAGAGCATCACGGGGTCGCTAGAGGCTGTGTAACTAAAGATTTGCCTTCCTCTACCAAGAGAAATGGAATGAGGTCGGGGCGCCTGGGTGGCTCAGTCGGTTAAGCGTCTGCCTTTGGCTCAGGTCGTGGTCCCAGGGTCCTGGGATCGAGCCCCGAGTTGGGCTCCCTGCTCAGCGGGGATCCTGCTTCTCCCTCTGCCTCCCCCCTCATGCTCTCTCTCGTGCACTCGCTCACTCTCTCAAAGAAGTAAAATCTTTTAAGGAAAAAAAAAAAAGAAACGGAGCGAGGTCTCCTCATTCTGACATTCTCAGACAGGAGGACTAACTGAGGGCAGCACCCAGCGCTCACCTCAGGCCCTTCCACTGACCAGGACATGTGGCTCTGATCGCCTGGCCACCCCCCTCACAGACTGCAGCGCCACAAGGAAGGGGGGTCCTGCCTTCCCACTACTGCCTCTCCTCTTCCCTCGGCCTAGTGTTCCTACTGGGACCCACCCTGGGCCACAGAGACCCACAGGCAGTCTGCTGTTTGTCCCCACACCTGACTTCGCGGCCAGGAACCACATACACCTGTGGTTGCTCAGAGCCAATAATCAGGGCCTGTGAGTCGCCCTGCCACTCCGTCTGGAGGCCCACCAACTACCGGCCCCTCCCAGGGGACCTGCAACACACAGCCCTGACGGCAGAGAGGTGGACAGTACTCCAACTCTGACCCTGGTTCCCATGAAGCTCAATCATCCTGATTGATCCCGGGCGTGGGTCAGCTCCTCAGTGCCCCGACCAGCTGCCGGCCTTATGGACAGGGACACAGGCACATGCCACACATCCTGGACTCTCGCCCACAGAAATGGCTTCCTACTGTGCATGGTATCCTGTAAGCTGGCCCTGTCCATGGCCAATTCTGGACATCATCCCAAAAAACAGGCCGTGCTCACACTCTCACCTTCCAGCATGGCCCAATTCCCCTGAAGATGGGCGGAGACCTTCTTTAAGGCGGCATCTTCAGGAACAGCCTGAGAAGACAAACGGAAAACGTTTACCAGGAAGACACATGACCACAGCCCCAGCGCGGCCGGCAGAGGCTCCCCAGACCTGCCGGGCGTGGTCCAGGCTGCCAGGCCCTCGGGAACACCAGGCAAAGCCGGCCATCTGTCCCGGTGCGGCAGACACAGCAGTCACCGCATCACGTCACGACAAAGACCCATGACGCGTGGGCTGCCAGGGACCCACATGCTGGCTCGTCCTTTTTACCTTGTCTGAGGGGCCCGGCAGGGGACACGTACAAGCTAGTGGCATTCGGTTCACCACTACTTTTTAGACGAAAATACCCAAAGGTTCAGGGGCACCTCCGAAGCCCTCAGTCAAGTGAGCACGTGTAAAGCACGAGACAATCTGCACAGTGCTCTGGTGGGCTTTATCAGATCCCCTCCCCTCAGTGTCACAGGAGATCCTGGACAGGCAGGAGACGGCCCCGCTTTACAGACAGGGCAGCCAGCTCGGAGAAGGGGTAAGGTTCGCACGTCACCCGGTGAGGAGAGGCTCGCTCAGCCCACAGCCCACATGCCTCTCTACTCCTGATTCCATGCCCCAGATACAAGGCCATGCTAAGCCTGCCAACGTCAAGGACACCAACTGCTGGTTTCTCTGCTAAAAAGACAGGTGACGAGCACAATCACAAGAAAAAATAGGCCCATGAGGGAGACTATCCCACAAAGAAACACTGCAAGCATCATGACATTAGATGAGCTGGCCAGGCGCCCCGGCTCCCTGAACCCCCGACACAAGTCCTCCAGCCACCACCCCCCAAGGACACAGCCCCCAGCACCAAGACATGATCAAGCTAAAAGTGGCACAGCTGTTGGCCCCCCCAACCCCGACCCCAGGCTTAGGGGCGGCAGGGACCCAACACGTCTCACCTGCCAGCAGCCGTCCACAGGCCTGCAGAGCACAAGGGGGGCTTCCCGGAAGTCCTGCAGGACCCACAGTCCCTGGCCCTCCTCGAAAGCAATGTCCCACACTCTGTGTTGAAAAGCCAGCTGCTGTCTGTAACCTAGCTGCTGTCTGTGGGCATCGAGCTGGAAGATGTAGACAACAGGAACGCTTTCCACAAAGAGAGAGAGAAAAATTATTACAACTACCATGAGGCCCATGTGGGTATCACTGGACAACAGACAGCAACTCAGCACTGTGCCCGGATCTGCCCCAAACACAAGACCCAGCCACCACCAGCATCTTGACTCTAAGCCCACGAGACTCAGACAGAAACACCCAGCCAAGCCACTTCCCAACCCAAGAGCCACAGGAACCAAGAGATAATAAAGGTCTAAGTCAGTAAGCTGGTCATGCTATCACAGGGAACCAGTACGGGACAAAGAAATAAGACGTGGGGAAGGGGGCTGTCCCAGCTACAGTAGCAGATGGCGCTGGGTGCAGGCACCTCCTGGCTCTAAACCTGCATCCTATTTTAAAACAAACTAAGATGCCCTCTGCAGCCTTGTTGTAAGGACAAACTAGAGGGGCAAAAACACCAGATACCTAGCCGGCACATAAACAATGCTCCAGAACCTGCTGGGTGGCACGCGGTCCCGAAATCCTCCTCCTCACCACCATGAGCCGTCGGGTGGGTCCTACTGTGACCTGCCCTAGGTCGGGTGTGAGGGCTCTATCAGGACCAGCCCCCGGGTGGGGCTGACTGAAGCGTATTTTACAACTTTGCTCTCACCCTCAGGTGGGGCTTTATCATGCACAAAAGGCCAATTGGAGACCAGTGAATTTAAACAGCAAGTGAAAGAGCACCACTCCACTCTAAGGAAAGGAACCCACACCCCTCAGGCAACAGCCATCCTCCCAGAGTGAAACTCACTGCAGGGACAGGTTGTACAAATAAAAGCGTGTGAAGCCTCCCAACAAGGAGACAGCACACGGGGCCAATGAACCACCCGCGTGTCCCCTCCCTTACGGCGGGGGTGTGGGGCCCTGAAGCAACGCCCCCAGAGCGTGAGCTCACCCACCAGTCACACAGCAGTGCCACGCAGCCCTCGGGGCTCCAGTAGGTGATCCTGGATGCGGCGAACCTCTGCAAGGAAAAGCAGTAACATAACAGCACGCTCGCCTGTCAGGGACCCGACTCGGGACTATTCTGTTCAAAGCGAGATCAGACACAGCAAGATCGTGACAGTGGCCACTACGGTCAAGGAAGGAAAACAAGAAAACAGTCCTGGAACTTTCTGGAAATCAGAAAGAGAAAAGAAAGGCACAGCAAACTACCCGTTTCACAATTCCAACGTGCCACGGCAGATAGAAGCCTCTCTCGTGGCTCTGGCCTTCCTTCAATGTCTCTAAAGCCAACGGACTGGTCAAGAAGGACAGGAGGTGACAAAGAACCCAAGGGATCGTTAACAAGACACAACTGCGTGTGCAAGGTCCACACATCCCAGAGTGGGAACATCCAGATGCCAATCAGGAGAAGTGGGAGAAAAGGCCTGATGTTCACCAAGCCCAGCCCGAGGGGCAGAGGCCATGGCCTGGGGGCTCCTGAAAGGAAGCGAGGAACCCAAGAGGCAGGGCCATCCACAGCTCGTGCAGCCCTTGTGTGCCAGGCCCGAGGTCAGAAACCTACTGGTTCATGGTTCTCTCTCTGCCTCACACTCCCTCCCCTGACCTCTGAGAAAGAGACCAAAGTCAACCTCACTATCCCAGAGCACCAGGAGGTTAATTGAGAGCATGAATGTGAAAAAGTATGTGAAAAAGTTACCAGAACAAATCAGGCATCCATGCGCTATGGCCTTGTGGGGGGTGGAGAGCACCAGAACTGCAGACACCCAAGCAGGGGGTGCCATGAGCCGGAAGCCAGAGCAGCAGAGTCCGCTGACCTGGGGGCCCAGGCAGCCCCTTGGCTGGGTGGCCACAGCCCCAGGGTCTTTGAGGCTCTGGCCCATGGTCAGGCCTGGCCTGCCCACTTCTGAGGCCGAGTAAGGGCAGTGGCTAGAGAGCAGTCTCGGGGGGGAGGAGAGAAAGCAGCCATCCTGAGGATGAGGCAGATGAGCCCCTCAACTCTGGCCAAGGTCTCCTGCGGGCTGGAAGGGGTCACAAGGGGGCTCCCAGGAAAAGTGCAAAGCTCCCCTGATGACAGCCAGGACACCTGGTCATCAAGAAACCACCCCAAGGGCCAGCTCTGTGGGCCTGGAGAGCCACGTAAGCAGACTGCTCCCTCCCTGCCAGGCCCAGGGGGGCCTCTATAGGAAAACGAGTGGAGCCATCCTTGGGTGACCAACCTGGACCTCAGCCCTGCAGGGCACGAGCCCAGGAGCATCACAGAGCTAGATGTCCATGACGACAGAATCCAGAGCACCCCCAAAAGGCAACCCACACATTCTCCCCTGAAAATCTCTCACAATCAAAGGCCCAGGTGACCTGACCTGGGGATACACTGGCTGATGTGGAGTCCCCGGGGTAAGGGGGTGGTCATCGAGATTAATCCATGACAGACAAAGGGAGAGATGCAGGAAGGGTGCTCAGCTCCCTGACTGGCTATAAATAAACCCCTGGGGAAACTCTCTGCTCAGGCACCACTGTCTTTTCCATTTCCAAGCAGGACTGGAGGAGGCATTTCTGTACCATGGTCATTCAAACACAAATAAAGCGAGAGAAGTTATTGCCCACTTACGGGACTGGACACCTTTAGAGTTTGAAGTACATGATCTCTCCCAAACTGGATGACGTCTGTGCTGACGACAAAACAATGTTTCCAACACAAAACTGGTTTTGTTCGCAGGATTCCAGTGACCGAAGAGGTGCCCTATAAGCCCTGATAAACCCGAGACAGAAGCATGACGTTACCTTGTCACCCCACGGCTCCGCCGGCTCCCGCAGGCTGGTCAGGTGACAGCAGTGCAGCTCTCGGCCACTTCGGTACTCCCAGAGCCTCAGGGTGCGGTCCTGCACACAGCGCGGACAGGTCAGCACACGCGCGTGGGGGGCAGGCCAGCCTCTGAGTGCGGGGGCTTCCGGCAGGGGCTGGAATACCGCTCAGCGGCAGCCAGCGCCACGGCGCTCTGCCCTGAGGGAGGGCCGTGCGGCCACGCCGATCGTTAGCAAAACACCCGTGACCCCACGCGGCAGAACGGGCAGAAGACACGAGACAAGCTGCCTCGTTCACGTGCAGGACGTCAAAGACCGCGGCTGCTGTACTCGCGCCAGGAGGATACACGCGCTTCAAGGGTCACCCGTTGCACGGGAGACACGTGGGTGGGGCTGCTGAGCACGACAACCGTCCCGCTTCCCTGTTCAGGAAGGGGTGAAAAGCGGGCGTCCGCCCGTTACCCGTGAGACTGTCACCTGGTGCAGATAAGGAAACTGGCACGTGTACCGAGAGCCTCAGTGATCCAAAAATAAGCATCGATGCAAGAGAGCTCCGTTAACAACTGCGCATCGCGGATCTCACTAGAAGGACAGGACAGGGAAAGAACTATGTATCTGAGAACACTCAGGACACACAGGGCGTGAAACGGAGCCTAGCTAGCTCGTCCGCTCGGCCGGCACACCGGGGACCCCCACCCCGGGGACCCCCACCCCGGGGACCCCCACCCCGTGCACCAGAGTCCATCGCTGACAACAGGCATGCACAGGCCCACGTGCACGTGAAGCCCAGATTCTGAGCAAACCAACAAGACGGCACTGACACAGCACACGCGGAGTTCCTAAATGACCGGGAGAAAAGGAAGGAGAGCAATTCCCCCAGAGCATAAGGGCCGGGGTGTGCGGGTGCTGGGCAGGAGCACGAACACCTGCCAGGAAACTACAGACATGGAGGCAAAGGCCCACCTGCCCCAACCTCCCTCTGCAGGGACTGGAAAGGGATGTTCCCGAAGCGTGAAGCCTTGAGGACAGAGACGTGAGGAGACAAGACAATGGTGAGGCCGTCTGGGAGCAGACGAAGGCAGGGGGACTGGCCACAGGAGGCCGTGACACAGCGGCTGGGTCCAGCAGGCCTGCGGCAGCACGGCCACCAGGGGGGCAGTCAGGACAGTCGGACTCCCCACCCCTGCGGCTTACAGAGCCGCGGGTTCACCATGTGCCGCCAGGGAGCAAGAGACCGCAGTCTTAGGGACGTCAGATCCATGCCAAGGGGCACCACCAGCCCTCCCCAGTCACCTCCCGGAACACGGGGACAGGCCTGACGCCCAGAAAGGTGAAGACTGAGCCAAGTAACCACCAAAAGAGGGCTGATCCAGATGGCCTGTGGGTGCCCGACTCCAACACCCTGGGCTCCCAGACACAGCCTCCACCACACTGGCCAGTGCCCCGTCCCCATCATAAATGGACAGATGCAACCACCAGACATCCGCAGGAAACCTCCATGAGGAAAGGTGGACACCACACAGGGGGAAGGAAACACACATGAGCTCAGGGAGATCGAAGCTCCTGCACTCGGGACCAACACAATTGGGGCCAGGACCCTGGGATCGAGCCCCATATCGGGCCCCCTGCTTGGTGAGCCTGCTTTTCCCTCTCCCTCTGCCGCTCCCCCTGCTTGTGCTCGCGCTGTCAAATAAATAAATCTTAAAAAAAAAAAAAAAGAAAGAAAGAAAAAAGGACACTCGGAGGACGAGAAAAAGCTCGTGACAATTACCAGGAACAGCAGAAATGAAATCCCCACAGGACACTATGAAATAAAGTTGAGGACAAGTTTCAAAAAGTAGATGTAGGACATGAGACAGAGGCCAAAGGAAAGAGAAAGAACCAGGCAACCAACGTAGCCCAACATCCCACAACACAGATTCAAAGAGAAGCGCCCGAGTGAGGACACTCCCGGTACCAAGAACCTTGAATCGCAGGGGCCACTGACCGTGCAAGCTGGTCTCCAGCGCCCAGCCCCATCTCCCCCAACTTCAGAGCACAGGGGCAAGAAGGCCCCCAAAATGTTCAGGAAAGGGGGAACAGATTCCACAGAAAGGACCCAAACTCAGAATGGCCTCAGATTTTTCAAGTGAAAGTGGGGAGAAAGCCAAGCACAGAAACCAACCAGAGAAAACACAGGCCCCTCACCTTCCAAATCCCTGGGAGGAACTCTCACCTCGAGCTCTATGCCCGCCCACCCACCAGTCGTTGGGGGTTAAGGGCACTTCCAGGGCCCAGGACAGCAGCCTTATGACAACACCCTCCCCCCACCTTCAGAGGCACTGCTCGGAAACACAGAAGAAAAAGACAGAGACAGACAAACATGGACACAGAGAGGATGAATATGAATATGGGGGTGGGGGTACTACCGGAGGTGCAGCCCACCAGGAAAGGGGACGACGGGCACAGAGAGGGCGGAAGGGCACACAGAAAATGCGTGTTCCTGTTTCTCAACTGCTCGAGTTCTCTGGATACGCCGGGCAGCCATTAAGAAGGCTGTGAAGCCCAAGGGCACACCTTATAGGGGCGTTGGGAGCCACGGCCATTTTCCCGTAGGCCCAGCAGCAGAATTTCACTTTACAAGTATATTGCTTCTGATGAAAATGAAAAGTGCACTCTGCAAGGTGTGGGGCACACAGCAGGCCACGCACCCCGCCACTGGAGCACCATCCCTCCTGTATCTTCAAACAGGGTCACGGGCAAAATGCCTGAACTTGCCAAGCTAGTGCTAAAATCAAAGGTGTTCGTTTTACTTTTCTGGGAGCCTGAATATTTTTTTTATCATGAAAAAGACTGGAAGACGTAGGTACAACAAAATTCACAAAAACTGGCCACCTCTGGGGACTCCAGCCATATCTATTTTGTTTGCTATCGCAGGACCATGCACTGCTGTGAAGAACAGGACACGGGACGGCAGAAACTCTAAGAACACAAATGTGGCAAAGGAATGAAACACAGACACGCAGACAGTGGCCAGATATCTGCAGGACGCTAGGGAGGCGGCTCTTCCCACCCAGAAACCCTAACTCTTAAGAGGTCCAGGCGCCTCCCGTGCAGCGCCCCCACCTCCCACTGCCAGGCACCTGAGTCCCACAAAACACTAAGGGGCAGGAAAGACAGGAGGAGGAACAGGACAGAGCTTTCAGAAAAAAAGAAAAAATGAGACACCAGCAGTAATTCAAACCCTTCACTTTGGCAAAAACTACTGCTTAATGAACCTTTTAAAGATTATTCCTTAGAACCAAGTCTCTGATCACTAAACCATCGAGCCCCAACTGCCAGGACATAGCAGTTTTCGTCACCAATCAAAGCCCCCACCAGGCCGGGGTGAAGAGCCAGCATGGCAGGAACTGGATGGAACCCAAGTCCCCTGGAATTCAGAAGGGGTCTTCCCACCTTCCCACCTGACTGCCAGAACAGAGGTCACAATGCTGTTACAGATGTGGCCCCTGAATGGAAGGCCCTAAGCAAGGAGCCAGCCACAGGCAGCTCCAAAATTCGGAAAACAAGCACCATCTAGTGGACAGCCACCAAGTGAAAGAGCCGCAACTGGGAACAAAAGAGCTCGTGGCTGGCAGACCCATCCCCCCCACGTGGCTCCCCGGCCGAAAGGCACCCAGAGGCACACAGGGCAGAGCGAAGCACTTACCCCAGAGGAGGACAACAGCAGCTCGGGGTGGTCGGGCACCACGAAGATGCGGCTCACAAACCTACAGGGCAAAGAGAAGCAAAGGGGGAGCCGAGTTCCAGGGAGCTGCTGTGACGTCTGCTCAGGCCATCTGTCATCTCAGAGAGATTCTCCCTCCAAACCCCTGACCCCCAACAAAAACTGCCATGGCTCCCACGGGTAGCTAGACAGCACTGAGCCAAGCATGAGGAGCACACCGTGCCATTCTCCGGGCCCCAACAGCCATGACAACTCCCAAGCAGGAGCGGGCCCCAGCCACGCTACTGGAAAGATCCATGAACATTTGTGTTGCTCACTCCAGCTGCCCTGCTCACAGCCCAAGACCTTCCCTGCAGGTCCGTGACGACAGGGAGCCTCGGGCGGAGACCTGCCGGACAGAGCAGGGGCAGAGGGCGAGCAGAAACACTGGCCGGCGGACTGACTCAGACCTCCTGTCCTTTACCCCAGGGCAGCCCCGCAGCCAGCGGTCCCCAGAAGCCCACCCGGGGTCCGCAGGCTATGAGCCAGCCTCTAGCCTCGCAAGGGGGGCAGCCTTCCCTGCTTCTCTCCCAACAATAAAGCAACCACTAGCTCACGGCTCCTGGGGATGCCCATGACTGGCTGGCCCAAGCAGTCCCCTGACGCAAGACAGCCATTACAGAGGCCGTGAGTCACCTCAATGACTCAAGAGGAAGGAAGGGAAACCGGTTTCCACAGATTTTACACGAGACTCTTAAGCACCTACTTTTACTCCTTATTCACTCACGGAAATACCTCCTGAGCGCCTACTACCTGCCAGGCAGTGCTGAGGGCTGGCGACAGCACTGGGCGCAGCCGCAAAGGCCCCCGTCCAGGGCGCTGGCAGGAGATGGGCCAGCGGAGGCCTCGGAAGAGCGCCGCCCAACATAAACACGGTGCCAACCACACCGTTTATGTTTGCAAGTGACCACATTAAGAAACAGACACAGGGCGCCTGGGTGGCTCAGTTGGTTAAGCGACTGCCTTCGGCTCAGGTCACGATCCTGGAGTTCCAGGATCGAGGCCCGCATCGGGCTCCCTGCTCGGCAGGGAGTCTGCTTCTCCCTCTGACCCTCCTCCCTCTCATGCTCTCTGTCTCTCATTCTCTCTCTCGCAAATAAAGTCTTAAAAAAAAAAAAAGAAAAGAAACAGACACAGATGAAAATAACTGACACTCTTCTTCCTTAAATTCATTTATCCAGAATATCACCACCTAACGTACAACCTAAATTAAAAATTAGTAATACGCTGTTTTTATGGCTTTTTTTGTATGAAGTCTTCAACATCAGGTCTTGAACACGGCACATCTCACTTCAGACTTCAGGGCTCGGGGCTCCTGTCTGGACAGTGCAAGCTAAGAGAAAAGCAGAGCAGGGCGGGACAAGGGGGGGCCTTCCTGAGAAGGCAGGTGGCATCTAGCCGGACACTGAAGAAGTGGAGGAGAGCACAGGGTCCTGTGGGGAGAGCATGCCCATCAGTGAGAACAGCACGTGCAAAGGCCCTGAGACAGGAGTGTGCCGGGTGGTGGTGGGTGGGGAGCAGGAGACCCCAGTGAGAAACAGCAATGGAGAGAGGGCCACGGGGGGCTTACAGGTCATAAGTCTGGATGCTGGATTACTAGAGAGCTGAACCAAAGCCCCCATCGGCTGTCCGGAGCTACAAACTAGGCCACCAGCAACCTTCAGAGATCACTTTACATTCTGTTCAAAACCAAGGAACAGGAGCAATCTCAAAATTAAGTCTCTCCAATATATTCCGCTGCCTCCAATAACACAGTGTTAAACATTTTAGCAAATGAAACGAAGGGCTTCTCTTCTCCTCTGCAATTAGCCTTGAGCCCAAGAAGCCCGAGAAGAGCAGTGTGTCTCAGAAACGCCTCCCTTGCAAAATACCAAAATTCAGTTACTGAAAGAGAGCTCACCTGCCAGAAAAGAGGTCATAAAGGAAGAACCACTGCCCAGGCTTGGAGGCAACATAAGTCCTGGACGTTCAAATTACCGAAGTATGTTCCCCCCGGCACACACCCCCTACCGGCCACTGACCACTGTAGGCACTGACAAGCATCTACGCTGAGGAAGGAGTGTTCCAGAAACAAGCCCTCACCTGGAGGCCAACATGGAAACCACTAGTGAGTGCTAACAGCAGGAGGCGGCGGGCTTAGAGGGAAGGCCTCTCACACTGAGCCCTACGCTGGCTCCCGTGGGCAGCACCACCACCACCGTGTGCGGCGACCACGCCCTGGGGTGTCAGACCTCAGTGCCAACAAGAAAACCTCTCCCTGAAACCCATGGGAAGGGAAGGGAAGGGAAGGGAAGGGAAGGGAAGGGAAGGGAAGGAGGAGGCAGAGGTCCTGACGGCCCCTGGGCAGAAGCCTGCACCAAATGGGGCCTCGCCGGGGAGCAGGCAGCCCTGGCTTCGCCACCGGCTGCCCAAGCTGAGCGGCCCACCCGTCCCTTGAGCCTGAGCTTCCTCCTGGGGGGCAGGAAGGGGACTCACTCTGTGTGCCCGAGGCAGAAGGACTCGATGCTGTGCGGCGCCGCAGCCCAGCTGACCCGGATCTTCTCATCCCGGTCGGCGGTGAGGACATAGCGGTCGTCGGGACTCACAGCCTGCACACGGGGGTTAGAAAGAACAGACCTGCTGGTGGGGGTGGCCAGAGCTGGCCCACCCACCCCACCGCCCCAGGACCTGTCCCCAGCGGTGTTACCAGACACCTGTCTCAATGCAGCTCCGCCCTCCCACCACCCCACCCCTCGTTCTCCAGCACCTGCTCGCCTTCGTCTCCTTCCTCCTTCAAGTGTCCCCATGGCCAACCCATCACCAAGTCCTGGGGGCGTTGTCCTTCAAGAACCCCTCCCTCGTTATCCCGGCCTCTCTCACCGGGTCCCACCCCAGCTCCACCTCCCACTGGCTGCCCCCAGCCCTCACCGGGCCTCTTGGGGGACACAGCTCCTGGCTCGGGTTGGAAGGACACTGAGGTGAGGCCCGTAAAGCACGAGGACAAGCTTAGGCCTTGAGATGGTGTCTGCCCTTCCCACATGCCTCCTCTACCTCGTCACCCAAACCCAGGCTGTCCCTTACTTCCGGAACCACCCAGCCACCTCCTAAGTGGCCCATGGGCATTCACCCTGTCAGCCTCACTGTCCTGAATTCCATTCTCACAAACTCCTGCTCACAAATCTGCAGAGCTGTCCCTGCTACAGAACCCAAACCCCAACAGCTGGGCTCACATCCCCGGCCTCACTGCCCCATCAGACCCCCTGCCCCTGCCCCCAGCTGACTGTAGCAGACTTAAATTAGGCCCATCACCCACGTACCACATCCAACAACATCGACAGGTGCCCAAGCTCAAGCTTGCCGCATCCCTGTGGCTCCAGCACCGAAAAGGAATAAACATCCCCAGACTTGTCGGCCACCAAAAGCTTCTCCTCCGAGGCCGTGAAGGTCAGGGCCGTGCACCTCCTCACCACAGTCCTGGAAGGCAAGAGACGCCCACCATCGGCTTGCACATGTCAGCACGAGATGGGCCGACAGACCTGCAGGCTGGCCCTTCTGCTGGTGTGTCGGCTCCACACCACCCGTCTCCCCTTCCAGTCACCAAAGGCAGTACCAAAAAAATAAGGCAATTAAGAGAACAGAAACAAAGCCAGCGCCTTAGACCGATTTTACTTCGGAGTAACTTTGCTTTTGTGACAGCAGAATCCGGATGGTGGACCTCTAGGTGTCCAGCATGACATCTTCTCAAATTTGTTGTGTGTTTGAAGACTGTCATGATAAAATGTTGGGAGAACTGCCTCTTGACCCCAGCACCTCTACTGGGCATTCTGGGGAAAAAAACGGTCAGCTTCGTAAACACCCAGTGTGCTCTGATCAGAACCAGAAGCACACTCACCATGGAGGGCCCTCCTACCCCTGCAGCTTCCCGTCCACGACCGTGGAGTCCCCGCCCCAGCCTGGGGCGGGCGGGGGGGGGGGGCCCGGCCTGCCGTGCGGGAATCCCACGTGCTGCTGGTGCACAACACCCCTGGGGATGGGGCGACACACCGGTCGGCAGGCGCGGCACTTGCCGTCGTCCCTCCCCCTGGGATGACTCCGGAGGAGGGCGAGCCGCGGCCAACAGCATGCACCGCTGGGGACGTCTGCGTCCCGGCTCCGGCTGCGTGACAGTCACCACACTCCTGAATTCAAACCCTCGGTCCACATTCACAAGATCTGCCTCATCTGCCCGCTGGCTCCACACCGCGCCAGCCTGAGAAACAGTTACAGCCCCCGCTGCACACACACCTACTCCTCCGGGTCTCCCTGCTGGTGGGGAGCGGGGTCCATGCAGCTTCCCGCCACTGCTGCTCTCACCGTTCACCTCCTTGCCACCGGCATCTCTACGGCAGATCACGCTTTCCACAAGGCAAGACCCTGCACTTTCATCCCACGCTAGATACCACGCGTGACCCTACTTCACACACGAACCCCAGGCTTGTCCACGTTACCTAACTCTGTGCCTCTCCCTGCCCTCCTCTGTCACCAGAGGGGATAGAAGGGGCTCCCTTTCCAACAAGAGCCAGTCAGCATCTGTGCACACGGCGCTTGGCCCCCTGCAGCTGGGGCCCCCCATGTTACAGTAAATAGGAACTAGAGCTTGAAGAAGCCACATCTCCAACACGAGGACCACACAAAGACCTCCCAGGTTCTCGGGAGCAGAGGGACAGAAGGAAAGAAAACGCAGGGCAGAGGGCCTGCAGCCGCGTCCCAGGACTCCACCACCCACAGCAGCTCAACCTCCTCCTGCGCTTACCTGAGCCGGTGGACAGTGGACAGAAGGACAAGGAGGGACATAAACATAGAGAACACAACAGAAGAAAGAGCATGGGGCTGCGGGCAAGACTAACCAACTCTCCGAGCACACGGTCACTGAAATGCCACCATACATTCAGACAGGCCCTCACACAGCCACGCGGCCACCAGTCCGGACAGTGGCCTGGGCCGGTCCCACAGGAGTATCGGGCGTGGACTCACACAAGCACCCGCCACTGCCCCCCCACCCCCCCCCAGCCCCAGCTCAGTCCAGAATCTTGTCCCTTTGCCTTCTGCCAGTGGAGGAACTTTCATCTTCTCCGGCCAAGTTAGTCCTGGCCAGGATTCTAGGACGCTGCTTGGCTGTACAGAGTAGGTGGGGGTGAGGGTCTGAGGGGTCAGGTCACAGACGTGGGCAGGCAGGTCATGAGACCGGACAGTGGGTGGGCTGGCCACTTTGCCCCATCAGAAGGCGTGGGCCTCACCATTCTTCGGGATCTCTGCACTCCCCCCCTCCCCCCAGAGTCACGGGGTTCACAGCCCAGCGTTCCCATCCTCATGCCCCCCAGGGCCAGCCTGACCCTCTCCCCTCTGCCACTGCCAAGCAGAGCACTGCTGGTCAGGTAGCCGAGCCCTAAAATCCCCCCCCCAAGCCCACCTCCAACGAGCCACACTTGTTCAACAAACTGAGTGTGGGGGGGCCCTGCAGGGCACCAAGGATACCAAGCTCTCCAACACCACACACCTCCAGCAGCCAGGCAGCTTCGGGCAGAACAATCTCATTTCCTGGGGCTCTGCCTTTCCACATACTTGCATTATTTCAATTCAGGCATTTTCTGAACCGCTGTGATTTCCTATGTAAGATTTCTCACTAATAAACGCACACATCACAAGAGAAAATATCATGTCACCCCAAGTGTCCTACTTTTAGTTCAGAAAACCTGGCCTTGGTTCTGGGCCTTTGTCATTCTAAACCGAAACCTTGAAACCAATCATTGCTATGCACTATTTCCATCTGGCTATTCCTTAAAATCCTCCATGATGAAGCATTAAAGCCACTGGAGAGCTCCAAGCTGTGAGCAACTCTTGGTCAAATGTGGATATCGGGAGCCCAGGACACTCCCAACACCGAACTGAACGTCAGATGCATGAAGGATGGGTGTTTTTCTGAGGAAGGGGTCCATCTGTCTGTGCCTCCCGCCAAGTGTTAAAGGCCACTGGACCAGGCAGCAGCGCATCTTACACTGAGGTCAGCATACATCCACAGGACAAGGCAACGTGAGAAAGGCAGCCCCTAGACCTGTGATGTGATCTGGCCCGACTCCTTCATTCAGTGGCTGACGCAGATGGGATGGGAGTTATCCAGGGTCCCGCAAGCAACATCTACACGCGCAACGTACCTCCCATAGGCAACACGAGGCCCTGCACACCTAACACAGAGGTTTCCAACACAAAGCTATTCTGCTGGTATCAAAGTAAAAACCAAGACGAAAAATACAATTAAGCAGGGAAAAAAAGGCAAGTGCCAGCCACTGTTTGCTAAAGTATAACTGCCCACCCTGAGTGTCCTTAGATCTCTACATGAAGACAATCGCCAATACGCTACCTTCAAAAGACAAAACAAACAAAAACACAGCATCTTCCCCTCAAACGCCCACAGACCACAGTGCACAAGGAACCAGACATATACACATAGGACTCTGTGCCTAAACACCCATCCTGAGCCTTACACTCCAGAGGCCTTGCCCTGCATTCCCCAATAGCCTGACAGCCACAGGGACGCGGTGACAGTCAAGAGAAGTCTAGATTCCTCCTTCCAGACCGTGCACAATGCCAGGAGCCCTCGGAGAACGGCCAGAGCCCCGCCAGGAGCCCTGGGCACTCGCCCTTCAGTCAAGGTGCAAGCTCCACCACAGGACGCAGGGGCCTGCTGGCAGGCTGTGTGGGTGTCCCCCTGTCCCAAGTTCAGGATGAAGGGCTACCCCTAAGCAGGGAGCACATACCAACATAGACTGCCACCTGCAATTTGCCTTTTTATTCTTCTCTTAGAAAATAAGATGCAAGAGGAATCCAAAAAGCATAGGTCTCCCCGATACAGGTGTGAGCCAGCTATGAAGTGAAATCCTTAATCTTGGCTGTTAGACAGTTAGACGTTAACATTATAACCTGCATGTATTTCTCTCTTACTCTCGAGGGACAGTTAAGCTGTGCAGCCTCAGGGAGGCAAGGATGATGGGAAGGCTGACTCTGCTCCATGGGGGTGTTTCCATCCCGGTCACAGACATCATAATTCCAGCCCTCACCCGCTTGAGGAAATAAAGCACTTACTATCAGGACACTGTCCGAGTAAGACAAATTTACACCTACCCAGGGCCTGTATCAGCATCACCCACCTCCTCTCCTAAGCCTGCTGATTTTCTTCATTTCTGCCAGCACGAGGCTGGAGGAACACTGGAAAGCAGGATGGCATAGTGGCCAAGGGCACCGCCTCTGGAGCCAAAGTGACCAGGGCCAGGGGCCAGCTCTGCCCTCTGAGCTGACTGACCGGGATCAGCTTCCAGACTCCCAGCAGGGATGTGGGTGAGAACAACGTCCCGCCCCCTCACACAGGGATGTTTCGAGGGTTCAGTCAGCTAACACCGTAAGGCCCTGACAACAGTGCCTGGCACATGGCTGAGACTACATGTTAGTCGCTTGTTCACCACATCACTGTCACTGCTGCGGGCATGCAAGTGTAAGCTGTGCGTTGGTAAATAACACGGTAATTAGTCCACGTTAGCATTTCATACCTGACACTCAGACATTGCCATGGTTTTGTACGGAAAAGAATCAGACGCTTACTGTCATCAGTTAAAGCAAAATAGCTGCCAGACTTGGAGAAGGTGGACGCCAGAATCGTGTCACTCCCCTTATCCGTGGGCTGCCCGTCCTCCCTGAGAAAGAAAAGGACAAGGATGATTAGGGATTGCCTGAGTAAACAAGGCTGCATTCCTCCAGGTTGGCCTTGTTCATTTATAACATGAGCAATGATAGAGAATGGCATGAGGTTCATGTAGCCAGAATATAAACGCATTATTAAGCAGACAAGGGGAGGTTCAAAACAGCTCTAATTTTTAAGGAATAAATCTAACTAAACAGAAAAATCTCTCAGCACACACACCTGAATCCAAAGAGCTGAGCCAGAAAGACCCTCAGAGATCACATGGCTCACTCCCTCACGGATATGAACGAATCGAAGACTAGAGTCAAGGATTAAATCATATTAAAACAAAACTGAACCGGGACACCTGGGTGGCTCAGTCGTTAAGCGTCTGCCTTCAGCTCAGGTCATGATCCCAGAGTCCTGGGATCGAGTCCCGCATCGGGCTCCTTGCTCAGCGGGGAGCCTGCTTCTCCCTCTGCCTGCCTCTCTGCTTGCGCTAAATCTTAAAAAAAAAAAAAAAAAAAACTGAACCATAAGACCAATTCTACTAGAAAAAGGCACCATACAAAATTATCACACTCTGCTTTCCTTATCTTTCAATTAACTAAAGCTAACTTAAACGCATTTAAAATTACATTTCATTATTTCAAGATGCCCACAAGAGTTAGTTACTGACAGAAACTGGAATTATTTAGAAAAATCCTACTATTCTTAACATCATATTTAAAGTTAGTTCCACGTTTCTTTGCTGAGGTCCTGGTTCATCCACAGGACAGTATAAATAGAAACAAAGAATTCTGTGCAGAAGCAACTTACTCGATGACACAACAATTTACTTCTTAGGCTACCCTGTCCCATTTAGTCCAAGCATGATTAGGCCTGAAGAGGCTGCCCCATCAGCTCACCCTTTATTCTCCTGTGACTTCTTTTCTGCAGTGCTACAATCATACGTGAAGAGGACGTCATCATCACTAAGGAAAAACAGAAAGATTTTAAAGGGAGCACTTCATGAACAAAAATGTGAGGTTTTTTTTCCTGGAGCACAAATATTCTCATACTCAATAAATTAAGGGTTTTATCCATGACAAGAAATTGTCTGGGGGGCGCCTGAGTGGCTCAGTTGGTTAAGCGACTGCCTTGAGCTCAGGTCATGGTCCCAGGGTCCTGGGATCGAGCCCCACATCGGGCTCCCTGCTTGGCGGGAAGCCTGCTTCTCCCTCTCCCACTCCCCCGCTTGTGCTCCTCTCTCGCTGTGTCTCTCTCTGTCAAATAAATAAATAAAATCTTTAAAAAAAAAAAAAATTGTCTGGGTACAGTACTTCAGAGAAAGGCTAAGGAGCTTTAGTTGCTTAATCTTTTCAGATTTGCCATACACAACTGGCATGGTTCCATACCAAATAATCTGTTAAGTAAAACAAAGGAGAAAAACTCAACAGGAAGTAATACATGATTCTTTTACTCCCAAAAAAATCAACGCAAGATGGTTATGCTAGAAGAAATTATGTTCTGATGTTTTTTGGTGAGATTCCTGCATCTCAATTTAAAACTGCCACCATTTAAAAATGTCTCAACTACCCAAGAAAGCTCCCATGGCTGCCACGCACCTGCCAGTACTGGAGTCAGACCCTAAGCTCTCTGCAGTTTATGCCCATCTCCTCCCTTCCAGTGCTTGGCAGAGACCAGATATCTTGTACCAACTCACAGCCTTTGAAGTAACTGCGCTCAGACTCTTTTCCCAAGGAACACTGTGGTGTTGGAAAGAGTAGTTCTCCCAGTCAGAAACTTTGCCACCACCATTCTATTTCCTCAAGAGGCACACAGAAGAATCATATTAAAAAAAAAAAAAAAAAAATGATGGGGACGCCTGGGTGGCTCAGTCGGTGAAGCATCTGCCTTCAGCTCAGGTCCTGATCCCAGGGTCCTGGGATGGAGTCCTGAGTGGGGCTCTTTGCTCCGTGGCGAGTCTGCTTCTCCCTCTCCTCCCTGCTCGTGCTCTCTCTCTTTCTCAACTAAATGAAAATGAATCTTAAAAAAATGATGGGTTTAGGGCGCCTGGGTGGCTCAGTCGGTTAAGCGACTGCCTTCGGCTCAGGTCATGATCCTGGAGTCCCGGGATCGAGTCCCGCATCGGGCTCCCTGCTCGGCAGGGAGTCTGCTTCTCCCTCTGACCCTCTTCCCTCTCGTGCTCTCTGTCTCTCATTCTCTCTGTCTCAAGTAAATAAATAAAATCTTAAAAAAAAGAGAAAAAAGGTGGGTTTATTGCATTTGATATGAATCAAATGTAATATCAAGTATAATAAACCCCTGTCTCCCAGTGGCATGCGTTAGATACCACGAGCCTCTAAAAATAATGTGGAATACACCACAAGTTTGTGAGTAAATGTTTTGTGAAAACTAAATCTAACATAAGTTGATTTCTGAAACCCAGCTTTGAGCAAAGAGCGGAGCGTATCTACATCTGACAGACACATGGTCCGTTTCAAGCAGGAATCCAAACTACCCGGGAAAGGAGTAAGGGGCCGAAACTGACCATGGGACAAGACTACTCGATCAACGCTTATTGTTAAAAATCCAGGGTGTTGTGTGAGAAGGAGCATGAAACTGGGGAAAGCTAAAGCAGAACCGTGTGCAGGCGCACTGGGGGGAAGAGGGTAAGACCGGGAGCGAGGCGAGGCGAGGCGAGGCGAGGCGGGCGGGCGGGGGAGGGGGGCAGGCGCCACGTCCGCAGACGGAGAGCGCCCGCGACTCGGGCCCAACCCGGTCCCCGAGGGCAGGAGCCGCCTTCCAACCGGCGCCCCAGGGCCGGGGCGGCCGCCGACCCAGACACCGCGCGGTGGCCGGGGCCTGGCTCGCGTCTCCCCACGTGACCCGCCCGAAGCGTCCCGAAGCTCCCGACGCCCACGCGGCCGACAACGCGGGGCCCGCGGGCGCCGGCGAGGGGTGCGCCGGGGCGGGTCCTGAGAGGAGGCGCGGGCACGCGGCCCGACCGAGGCGAAGGCGGCGGCTGCGCGCGCCGGGCGTCTCCCCAGGGCCTCGCGGCGCGAGGGAATGATTCCCCAGGCCCCGGCGCGCGCCCGCAGCCTGGGCTCCCCGCTGCAGGCCCAGCCCGCTCACCTGCTCGCAGTGGAGGTGGCCAGGAACCGACTGCCGCCCCGCACCACCAGCGCCTGCCCGCACAGCGCCAGCCCCGCGGAACTCGCCATGCGCCCGCCCGCCGCGCCTCCCCCCACGTGCGCCGCCGAGCCCCTCTTCCTGCCGGCGCCGCACAGTGACGTCACGCGCAGGCGCCGCTCGGTGGCGCCGCTCGGCCCGCCCCCACGGTGGCCGAGGCCCCGGACATGCGCAGAAGGTGCTTTCCGCCTTCGCCGCCGTGGTGGCGTCTTCTCCGCAGGTGGCGGGTTTAGGGCGGTGGGAACACTCGCCCGCGTGGGAACGCACGCTGAGCAGTGCTCTTTTCCTCCACACTGGGCAGGGCCGCTTCTGGATCTTTCTCCGCTGCAGCCGGGCGACGTGGTCCTGCTGGTACCTGCTGGGCTCTTAGTAAGCGTTCCTGCAAGAGGTGGGTGGGGGTGAGCCTGCACTTGTCCGGGGTGGCTCAGAGTTCAGGCGCTGGAAGGGAGCCCCCGCAGCTTCCCCTCGGAGGTCGGCCCCAGGCGCCGCAAGTCTCTCCCACCGCCAGAGATAGCTCTTTGCCCGTGTTCTTCTGTTCATGGAGTTCGAACAAGGTGACTTCTCAAGACACGCCGCCCACACACCCCATCCTGTTCATCTAGTCACTTAAATCCCTCTGCTGCACGCCCCTTCTCTCCATCTCCGTGGCTTCCGCCACCATCCAAACCACAGCAGTCCGCAGCTTTGCTGATCGCCGCAGCTGCCCTTGTCCCCCACCGATCTGCTTGCCACACCGAAGCCAGAGATCCTTGCAGAACACAGATCTGATCATTGCATCCCCCTGCTTAAAACCAACAGGTGGCTTCTCGTTGCTTTCATGGCAAAGACCCAAGTCCTGATCATGCTCTAGGGAACCGCCTGTGGTCTGGCTCCCATCTACTCCGCAGCCTCTTTCATTCTCTGTGCTGTAGCCAGGACTGCCCTTCATTCACTGGCACAATGCACTCACCCCAGGGACTTAGCACATGCCATTGTTTCTGACTGAAATGCTCTCCCCGGCACCCTATCTATTTACTGTAACTAGTTAATTCCAGTCACTCGATTTCATTTCAGTGGCATCATCGGTCAGGGAAGCTTTCCCTGCCTTTCCATTATTTGTATTCACGTTTATTTGTTTAATGTCTCTCCAAGACTACAAATGCCTAATTTTGCAGGTTATGGTCATCCCAACTTGCAGCACAATACCTGGCAAGAAGTCAGTGCTCAATCAATATTTGCTAAGTACATGAATGGAACGAGTAACTGTCTTAAAGGAGCAGCTACTGTTACAGAAGAGTGAAGGCGTAGGAAACTTGGAGAATGCTGGCCCTGACCCCACCTCCTGTATGACTCAAGGATGAATTTATACCCAAAATCAAAGGCAGCTGCTGTATTCACGGAGGGGTTGCTGCTGGGCAGTAACCACAGTGGAAGCAGGAGACTTCCCAAGGTTTCTGAAAATGAATCTGTGAACATCTTTATTAGACTAATCTAGTTGGCACAGTGGAAGTCCATATGCGTGGTCTGGGGTGTTTTTCAAGCATGCCAGTGAGGTTACGGTTTCTCTCCTGGGCAGGATAGTAATACTAGGACCATAGAGATCCTAGGCAGGGGCCAGTCATCACTAGGCTCGTGAATAAATTCAACTTCCTTTACAGTCGTCATTTACATCTTAGAAAATACTCCATGACACACATTCTAACATAAAATTAACTATAATACACCTATTTGAACTGACCTTGAAGTTTGCCTTCGTGTTATAAGTTACAACCTAGAGAAGTAAGTACAATTTTTGAAAAACCGTGGAGACTGAATAACAGAGATTTAAGGGATTTTATGCATTATATCACAAGATGCGGAGCATGCATAAATGAAAACTTACAGAACTGTGCTTGATCATCAGACGTAAACACAGCCTAGTCATTCTGATCTTTTTGAGGTGATGAACCATGTGCCTCACGCTCTGAATTCTTGCAGTACTTGTGCCAACAAGATTTATTTGCCTAAAGATCTTTTTCTCAGCAAAGTCCAGGATAACCCAAGCCTTTTCTTTGTAATTTTAATCCAGTCTGAGTTGAAATGGTGTTAAGCTTATTTTTATTTTCACAACTTTCCCTTTTGTGGCCCCTCTGGTGCTACTTCAGTTCATCTTGTGTGGGCTATCAGATGTTAATGCAGGTCCATGAACGTGTTGTCTGAGGCCTCTTTACCCGTCATTACTCTTACATATATGTGTAAACTATTTCAGCATTAATATGATGTGTTGATATTTTACTATCTAATGTTCTTAGTATATTACCCCAAACCCACAACTCAAATTTCAGTTCTGTATAATTTGGGGTTTTTTTTAATTTGTTAATGTAGCTACTAAAGTTGTAACCAAGTTTTTACCTCTCTGAAATTTACAAAACGATGAGGGCATATTCATCGTTTACAGCTTGGATAAAATTGGAGAGCCCTTAGGTTTTGTCCCATTTCCCTTGGTGATTTTCTCGAAGGAGTCAGCTGTGTTGATAGTAGCTGTAGTTAGTAACTGTTTTAGTAACTGTATCCATTTTCTGTTGTCATAATAATACATAGTAAATACATAACAAGTACTATATAACAACAAATTGTGTAGCCTAAAACAGTAATAATTTACTTAGCTCACAATTCTGCGGGTTGGCCATTTGGGCTGGTCTTAGTTGGCTGTCTTTGCTCATGTGTCTGTGGCCTGCCACCTGGTTGGAAGAGAACTAGCCAGTCTAGGATGGCCTGGGACAACTTGTCTCCACTCCATGTCATCCTCCAGGAGGGTACTGGGGCTTACCTACATGGTAGGCACAGTCAGGAAAAAACCCACGGGACTTGTGAGGTCCAGGTGTGGAACCAGTGTACTGTTTCTTCTGACACACCCTATTGGCCAACGCAAGACACAAGGGCAACAAGATCCAAAGGTGGGGGAAATAAACCCCCTCTTGGTGAAAGGAGCATCAAAGTTGCATTACAGAGGGCCTGGGTAAAGGGAGGGGTGGAGAATTGAGGCCATTTTTGTGGTCAAATCTACTACAATCCATCCTTTGGCCCCAATTATTCACATTTCTCCACCAAAAAAAAACCTCACTTCCTCCCAAGATCCCCAGAAGTCTCACCCAATCCCAGTACCAGGCTCAAAGTGCAGGGTCTCATGATCTATACTAGGTTGAATGTGGCTCCTCAGGTGCGGTTCCTCTTGATCCACAGATGGATAAACTAAAAATATCAATTGTCTGCCCCCCACACAGCATACACTGGTCAAAGGGGAAAGGACCACCACAGTGAATACTTCCATTTGAAAAGGAAAAGAATGGGGGTCCCTGGGTGGCACAGTCGGTTAGGCGTCCGACTCTTGGTTTCGGCTCAGGTTGTGATCTCAGGGTGGTAGGATCAAGCCCCGCGTTGGACTCCACACTCAGCATGGAGTCTGCTTGGGATTCTCTCTCCCTCTCCCTCTGCCACTCCAGCCTGTGCACGCACGCGCTCTCTCTCTAAAAAAAATAAATAGATCTTTAGAAGAAAAGAAAAAAGGAAGAATGGGTGCACAGAGCAATCACTGGTGCAGAGCAATTCCTAAATCCATAGGGAGAATGTTCACAGGACCATAGGACAAGGGAGTGCTCCCCGATGAGGCTGAGTTCTGCCTGCTGGGAATATTCCCCAGGCTGTACCCCAGCGCGACTCTTACCTCTGCCCTCCTGGAGATCCCTCCTTTTCCAGCGCCTCTTGCTCACTCTGAAAAATGTGCCCTTTGAGCAACTCTTAAACTCTTACTGCCCTTAGCAAATTGGGAGCCCAGAGGCCTTTTTTCACTTTAAACTGTCCAGTCCCCTGAAGGTGGTACTTTGTTCATACAGTTCCCTTAAACACTTTGTGGAGATGTCAGCATCGTGGCTGAATAAGATACCCCTCGCCATGTCCCCCCACTCAACAGCAGTTCAGCATCCATCCACAGACAGAGTGCCTTTCTGGGAACTGTGGGACCCAGCCCCACACACAAAGGAACCCAGGCAGTCTCACCCACCCACGTGTCCGGTAATAGGCACACAGACTTTGGTCCCACCTGTGAAGCTTGCTGTGGCCTATGAAGTGGCTCCACCCCCTCTTGGCCATGCTCTGGGAGCCCCTGGAAAACACCATCTTAGACAATCCCCCCCCAAAGGAAAGAGCTTTTGTGGAAGCCCAGGTTTCCAGCAGACAAATTCCAGCACATCGTTAGAACAACAAAAAAAATATATGAGTTTGGGTGCATTGGAGAGGGTAAGAGGAACAGTGTGACTTTACCCATATCATCCCTCCCCCAGGGCCTTACAGCTTAGCGTCAAGAGAGAGTTCCTTAGCCCAGGATTTCTCTCACAGGGGAAAGCGAGAGCATGTGAGTGAGCACCTGACTTCCCCAGCCATGTGAGATGCTGCCAAAGATACCTGTGTCTCTAGACTCTTCCAGAGTATGGGTCATGAGTACTGGGGGCAGGAAGAGCTAGGAGAGCAGCAAATAGAACTCTCAGGGGCAAAAAAGGGACCCCAACACTCCCATCAAAAAGCCTGCCCTTGAGCCACTAGGGACACCTTGCTCACAGATCCCCCAACTGGCCCACTGGCACCCCCAGCGCTCCATGCACCTCACCCCCACACACTCCCACACTGTGACCAGCTCCCTGTGTGCACTCCCAATGGCAGTAAGAGTGAGTTTCGGCAAACAGCTAGTGAGCACGCACAAATAATGGGCCCAAATCTGCAGGCCAGGGAGAGACCACAGCTTGAGCACCACCTTGGGGAAACAAAGGGGAGGCTGTCAGCACTCAACCTAGTTAATTGTGGGGTGGAGAGAAGGCATACAAGCTTAAGAATCAGCCACAAGAGGGAGCAAGAAACAAGGAGAAGGCACATCCACCCGAGGTCTGGGATCGCCCCAGAATCCCTAGCAGGGCTGAGGGAAGGTATTTCTCTCCCAAAGGCAGTTAGTAAAGTCCAGAGGAGGGGATGGCAACTTGAGATGTGAACACAGCAGCACCAGACTTCAAGGAACATGCAAAATCAAAGAAACATGATGCCACCAAAGGATCATAAGAACCTTCTAGCAACCACCCCCAAAGACTTGGAGACCTGTGATTTACCTGATAATTCAAAATAGCTGTTTTCAGGAATGAGCTACAAGAAAACAAGCAAACAAAAAAGACAATTCAACAAAATCAGGAAAACAAAATATGAACAAAATGAAAAGCCTAGCAAAGATGGAAATCATAAACAAGAACCAAACAAAAAATCCTGGAGCTGAAGAATACAGTGAATGAAATGAAAAGTGCAATGGGGAGCACCCACAGCAGAATGGATGTAGCAGAAGAAAATCCGTGAAGTGGACAGGAACTTGGACGTCATCCAGTCAAAGGACACAAAGGAGAGAGGATGAGAGAGTGAAGAAATCCCGGTTGACCTGTGGGACCAACAAAAGAAACAGTCTGTGATTTATTGGAGGTCCAGAGAAGGAGAGCGGGAGAAAGCGGCAGAAAGCTTATTTAAAAGAAATAATGGTGGGGCGCCTGGGTGGCTCAGTCGTTGGGCGTCTGCCTTTGGCTCGGGTCATGATCCCGGGGTCCTGGGATCGAGCCCCGCATCGGGCTCCCTGCTCCACGGGAAGCCTGCTTCTCCCTCTCCCATTCCCCCTGCTTGTGTTCCCTCTCTCGCTGTGTCTCTCTCTGTCAAATGAATAAAATCTTTAAATAAATAAATAAATAAATAAATAAAAGAAGTAAAAGAAATAATGGCTGAGAACTTCCCAAATCAGGGGAGAGATTTGGACACTCAAGGTCCTGAAGCTCATGGGTCACCAAACTCAACTTGAAGAGATCCTTTCCAAGACACATTATAATAAAACTGCCAAAAATCAAGGACAAAGAGGGAATCTTAAGAGCAGCAAGAGAAAAGAGGCTTGTAAGTTACAAGCTACCCCCATCAAGCAATCAGCAGATTTCTCTGCAGGAGCCTTACAGGCCAGGACAGGGCAGTACGGTATAGTCAAAGGAAGACCCTGCCAACCTAGAATCCTCCACCTGGCAAAGCTGCCCTTCAGAAATGAAGGGGAGATAAAGATATCCCAGACAGACAAAAACTGAGGGAGTTCATCCCCACTGGACCTGCTCTGCAAGAAACACAGAAAGGAGTTTTTCCAGCTGAAATGGAAGGACGCTAACCAGTAATGTGGATACACAGGAAAACATACAACACACGGTAAGGGTGCGGGGGCAAAGTCAGATTCTGGATCCTGCTAATACTCTAATGTGATGTGTTAACCACTTAACTCTGTGTAAAGGTTAAAGGACAATAGAATCCAAAATACCTGCAGCTACGATCATTTGTGTATGAATATAGAGAACATGAAGATGTAAACCGTAACAGCAAAAACATCCGGGGAGGACGTGGAAAGGTAGAGTTTTTGTATGCAGTCAAGTTGTAATCAGTGTAAAACTTACTGTTGTATCTATAAGGTGGTTTATTTAAGCCTCATGGTAACCACAAAGCAAAAACCTACAGTAGATTCACAAAGGAGAAACAGAAGGGAATCAGAGCTTACCACTGTGGAAAATCATCACTCCACAAAGGAAGGCAATAAGAGACTGTCCAGGACATTCCTAAATAGATATAGATATATAGATGTTCATATTGATATATATAAATATATACTTGATATCCATGTATATATGAATATATTCAATATATATTGAATATGTACTTGATATATACCAAGTCATTTCACTGTATACCTTAAACTTACACAACATATATATCAATTATATTTCAATAGAGCTGGAGAAAAAAGAATTTCCTTAAAAAAATAAAGTCACTTGTATTTTCCCATCTGATGTGATTTTGACATGTTATAGGTGGAGTTACATTTTCCCCCAAAAAGACAAGTTGAAATCCTAACCCCTGGTACTTGAAATGTGACCTTATTTGGAGATAGTCTTTACAGAGGATTTCAAGTTCAAATGATGTCATCAAAGCAGGCCCTAATCCAGTATGACTTGTGTCTTTATAAAAAGGGGAAATTAAGACACAGAGACAGACATGCACAGAAGAAAGACACACAAAGAAAAGCCATATGAGGACAGGCAGAGATTGGAGCAATGCAGCCACAAAGCAGGGAATGCCAGGGATTGGTGGCCACCCCCAGAGGCTCGGGAGAGGCAGGGGAGGATTCTACCCAGGGTCTCAGGGGATGCTGTTCCCGCTGCCACCCTCATTTAGGACTGTATCCTCCAGAACGGTGAGACAACACCTTTCTGTTGTCTTCAGCCAGTCAGGCTGTGGTCCTTTGTTATTGTAGCTCTAACAAACTAATACAACATACATTTGTATTTTGAGGACAGTGCTATTCTAACAACTAAGTTCTTACTCCATGCCAGCACTCAGCTCTTCACCCTTACTTGGTAGTGATGTTTGGCCATTAGAATGTAGGCTAGGCAAGATGTCCATCGACAGATGAATGGATAAAGAAAATGTGGTATATATATACAATGGAATATTATGCAGCCATCAAAAGGAATGAGATCTTGCCATTTGCAACGACGTGGATGGAACTGGAGGGTATTATGCTGAGTGAAATAAGTCAAACAGAGAAAGACATGTATCATATGACCTCACTGATACGAGGAATTCTTAATCGCAGGAAACAAACTGAGGGTTGCTGGAGTGGGGGTGGGGTGGGAGGGATGGGGTGACTGGGTGATAGACACTGGGGAGGGTATGTGCTCTGGTAAGTGCTGTGAATTGTGCAAGACTGTTGAATCTCAGATCTGCACCTCTGAAACAAATAATGCAATATATGTTAAGAAAAAAAAAGAAGAAGAAGAAGGTAGCAGGAAGGGAAGAATGAAGCAGGGGAAATCGGAGGGGTAGACGAACCATGAGAGACGATGGACTCTGAAAAACAAACAGGGTTCTAGAGGGGAGGGGGGTGGGAGGATGGGTTAGCCTGGTGGTGGGTATTGAGGAGGGCACGTTCTGCGTGGAGCACTGGGTGTTATGCACAAACAATGAATCATGGAACACTACATCTAAAACTAATGATGTAATGTATGGGGATTAACATAAGAATAAAAAAAAAAAGAATGTAGGCTAGGCTCCAGTAATGGCCCACTTGATGAGGCAGGAGAAACATGAAGGCATAGAGCTGGGTTATATATGTAGGTTCATATACACAGGATCTTGCCGGACAAACCTTTTCATCGTTTCAGTATACGGAAAGATAGAATTTCTAGTAGTATTGGAATCTATATCTTTTCCATCAAAAAGTGGGCATCTAAAACTACCATATAACTTTGGGGCACCAAATAAACCACTCATGGCTTTTTTACTCATTAAAATGCATTATGAAATATTTCATACATATCAAAAATACACAAGAGCAAACATTCCTGTGCCCATAGCACACCATAAGAAACAAACAAACAGGGGCGCCTGGGTGGCTCAGTTGGTTAAGCGACTGCCTTCGGCTCAGGTCATGATCCTGGAGTCCTGGGATCGAGTCCCGCATCGGGCTCCCTGCTCAGCGGGGAGTCTGCTTCTCCCTCTGATCCTCCCCCTCTCATGCTCTCTGTCTCCCATTCTCTCTCTCAGATAAATAAATAAAATCTTAAAAAAAAAAAAAAAAGAAACAAACAAACAAACATTACTAAAAGAAGACAAGTCCCAAGGCTCCCTTCCATATGGACCTCACCCGTCCCTCCACGCCCTCCAGAGGTAGTCACTAACCTATTCTGGGTGGCTCATCCTTGTTAGTGAGTAGGAAACTTTATGTTCTGGATACCGAATCATTATGAGTTAAATGATTTCCCAGTTTGTGTCTTGTCTTCTTACTTTCTCTACTGCCTTTTGCTAAACAGTTTTCAATTTTAATGTAAATAGATTGGAATGTCCTATGCCATGGGAAGTATGTGTGTATGTTAACCCCAAATTCAAGAGAGGGTAGGCCTTGAGACATTTTTTCCCCACCCAGTGCCCAGGCTGAGATATACATTTCCTGTGACCTTTTTTGCAAGCAGGTGGCTTTGCCCATGCTCACCCTGCCACTGAGGGGCAGCTCTACAAGGGCTTCCTCCTGTGCTTCCCAGCCCACTCCCAGGACTCATGGCTCCAAAGTCCTCTTGACGTCAGTTAAACCAAGACTTTAACTTACTGAGATCAGCAAATGCTCCCAGAGCGATGTGACTTCTTGTGGTTTCTTGCTTGTGTTTTAGTCCCTGGGAACACACACTTCCTGTGGTCCAGCACATTCCAAACGATGAAAAACATGATCACACTAGACCAAGATAGGCAGCACTGAAAAGAGCCTGGTGGACACAAACACCAAATCAATTCAGGAGGAATGCACACTGACCCCAGGGCTTGGGAATTCCCACAGATAAGGGCCCAGAAACACATGAGTTTCAAGTCCATCATGACACAGCAATCATGGACAAGAGCACGGATCTGGACATGGGAACAGAACTGATCATTTGAAATTATGCTTGTGATATTTCACCCAGCATTGCGAAATATTCGGTAGTCCAGCGGTTTTTCATAATATCTAGTGGCCAGATACTCCCAGAGACAGAAGTCACTATCTGTGTTTTAAAAGATAGTTTAGAGGCTCCTGGGTGACTGAGCCAGTTGAGCATCCGACTCTTGATTTCTGCTCGGTCATGGTCTCAGAGTTGTGGAATAGAGCCCCAAGTCAGGCTTCATGCTCAGCAGGGAGTCTACTTCCTCCTCCTCCCTCTGCCCCTCCCCCTGCATGCTCTCTCTCTCAAATAAATCTTAAAAATATATATATAATTGAGGGGTGCCTAGGTGGCTCAGTCAGTTAAGTGTGACCCTTGATCTCAATTCAGGTCTTGATCTCAGGGTCGTGAGTTCAAGCACAGCATTGGGCTCCATGCTGGGCATGAAGCCTACTTAAAAAACAAATAAATAAAGTAATAATAATAATAAAACATAGCTTAGACATATTCAATTTCACTTTGACTTTCCTTATTTTGTCTTGACAAAAAAAAAAGCTTTTAAATTTACTTTTCCTATTTGCCAAGCTGTTTTTCCTTAAAGATTTTATATTTATTTATTTATTTACGAGAGAGAGAGAGAGAGAGAGAGAGCGCACATGAGCAGGGGGAGAAGCAGAGGAGGAGGGAGAGGGAACCCAAAGCAGACTCCTTGTTGAGCATGGAGTCTGACTGGAGGCTTGATCCCTTGATGACAAGATCAGGACCCAAGCAGAAACCAGGAGTCGGATGCTTAACCCACTGTGCCACCCAGGCACCCACTGAGCTAGCTACCTGTTTTTATTTTCTCTTATTAAAAAGAAAATTATCTTACTAAGAGTAAAGCATACTATATATGGCCATCCTGAACAGTATTTAGGAGCACCTGGGTGGCTCAGTCAGTTAAGCATCTGACTCTTGGTTTCGGCTCAGATCATGATCTCAGTGATTGAGCCCCAAGTTGAGCTCTGTGCTCGGCATGGAGTCGGCTTGAGAATCTCTCTCCCTCTACCTCTGCCCTTCCCACTCATGCTCTCTCTAAAATAAACAAATAAATCTTTAAAACAACAACAACATTTTAAAACCACAGTGTTATTGAAAGCTTTGTGGAAAAAAAAAAAAAGGAAAAAACCATGCTTCATTTAAACACATAATTAAGTTGTATTAATTTACATAGAAAAATGGCATAATACATTTCCTTTGGGGCTTAAAAGGAATGTATGTCTTAGACAAGAATGCAGAGCTAGGGCATGTGTGAGGATGGCAGGAACCTGAATATTTTTATTTTCCTTTTTGGCCTAAACACCTTTGAGTTCAGGGTTGGGTCCAAGTGATGCTCCATTTTCTAGTTATCTTGAAAAGAAGTTTAATTTGCCCTTAGGATACTGAAGGGGGATCTGGAGTAATTTAGATAGACCTTTATGTGATTAATAAGAAAATATAGGCCAACATAAGTTTTTGAGGTTTTTGTCTAAAAACTGCTAAGTTGGGTGCCTGGGTGGCTCAGTTGGTTAAGCGACTGCCTTCAGCTCAGGTCATGATCCTGGAGTCCCCGGATCGAGTCCCGCATCGGGCTCCCTGCTCTGCAGGGAGTCTGCTTCTCCCTCTGACCCTCCCCCCTCTCATGCTCTATCTCATTCTCTCTCTCAAATAAATAAATAAAATCTTTAAAAAATAAAATAAAATAAAATAAAAATAAAAACTGCTGAGTTAGTACTTGCTAGGCAAGGTGATGGGTGCAGGAGAAATGATATCTAGTTTACAGTTTTCCAGCTGATTAGAAAACACGATCTACTCCCCTTTCCACAAATACTCGTGAAAACAGGGTCCCTCTCTCTGGCCTCTGCCTCTTTGATTTTTCTGCAAAACCTTATATTTGCCTCTTGCACTTGGCCCTGTTCTTTCTGTTCCCTTTGTTCTAATGTAGTGTAGGCCCACCTCGACTGCCCTACCTGAGTACGTTAGCTTCCTAGTAGGTCCTGCTCCCTCCGGGCTCAGACAGTGGTCTTCCACATTTTTCCCATAGTTACCTTCACACACAGTCATGTTGCTTCTTTAAAAACCGCCAACATGGCTACCCCCACTCACTGTGTCTCTTCTCCAGGGCTCCCCTCAACCTACGTGCCCTCTCCTCAAGCCACTCTGGCTGGTGACCACACTGGGCCCAATGGGGTTGGCCTCTTCGTTTTATTCTTGAAGCTGACATTTTATTCTTGAGGCTTCACAACGCAAGCCTGAACTTTCCACTGGAGACAACAGAGTGAATTTGGTCTGAGTAAAGGATAATTCTGTTGGGGCACCTGGGTGGCTCAGTGGGTTACGTGTCTGCCTTCTGCTCAGGTCATGATTCCAGGGTCCTGGGATAGAGCCCCATGTCTGGCTCCCTGCTCAGCGGGGAGCCTGCTTCTCCCTCTCCCTCTGCCGCTCCCCCTACTTGTTCTCTCTCTCTCTCAAATTAATAAAATTTTTTTAAAGGGTAATTCTGTTAGTAAGGTTTTCCCTTCTCCTGGAGAGACCAAGGACCTCTTTCTCATTATTATCCTAAGACCGCAGATTGTCCACTGCCACCTGCATGACTGGTGGCAGGTCGCATTGCATTCACAGGGCTCCAGAGTCCCCTTTGATAAGGGTCTGGGGGCACCTGTTTCTGCCCATTTATCTTGACACCTGAATGAGTCTCCACTTCGCCCGGGTGGACTCAGAGGAGCGGGCACGTTCATCTTCTAGGAAGCACTGGACAAGGCAGGAGTGCGGGCGGGGGGGCACGATCAATAACGGAGCGAGGGGTCAGTAACTACGCCCGCTCTGCTATTTCGCCTTACTTTGGGGGAAGTCTTCGCACTGCAAGCCATCAACATTCAGGTCGCATAAAGCTGGCGCTGCTGACACGCCCGGCTCCGGCACTGGTGCCGTCATGGGCTCAAAGCATGCCCACGGTCCCGCCCGGGGTGGCCTGCCCGATGGGCAATGAACAGCGGTGACCACTCTGACCGTGTGCCTCGCAGGATGGGGTCCGACCTGACGCCGCCCAGGGGCAGCCGAGGGAGGCGGGGCGCGCGCTGAGGCCCGGACCTAAAGTGCCGCGGGGCCACCAAGCCGACGACTCTGGGTCAGGGCCGGAGTCGCCAGGGCACGGTCTGAAGTCTGTGCACCTGGGAAGAGACACTGGCAGACGGGGCGCCGGCCCTCCGGAGACAGCGACGCCGCAAGAGCCCTCCGACGGCCACGCGCGCAGCCAGCCCCGGGGCCGCTCGGACGAGAACCGGCCCGCCGGTGACTGGCAGCTCCACCTGGGGGCGTGGCCGGGGCGCCGAGCTGGGAGCCCGGAGGCGGCTGGGATGCGCCCGCAGGCCCCGCCCTCCGCCCCGCCCCGCCCCGCCCCCGTGCCTGCCTGTGATTGGTGCCCTCGGCCCAGGGGCGGGACCTCGGCGGCGGAGCGCGCGCAGCGGTGGCGTCAGTCCGGTGCGACCTCCGGCGCGCGCGGCCGTCCCCGGGCGCTCCCCCGAGTCACCGTCATGGCGGCCTCGCTTATGCTGCGGCAAGGACGGTCCGGGGCGCTGAAGGTAAAGGGGAGCGGGGCCGCGGCGGGGAGGCCGTGTAGGGCCAGGGCCCTCTCCGGCCGTCCTGGTGGGCCGTTGACCCGCCTCCCGGGTGCAGGAGGGGACGCCGGGCCGGAGCAAGTGGCCGTGGGGCGGGCGTGGCGGGCCTGGCGGGCCGGCGAGCGGGCGCTGAGCCCGGCCACAGCCCCTTGGCCGACCCTGATCACCTGAGGAGCGCCAGGCGCGCGGGGCCGGGGCCACGGGGCCACGGGGCAGGTGCGAGGGCTCCCAGGTGTCAGAACCGTTAAGGACAGCGTCTTGACCTCTTGTTTAGCCCGGAGAGGAGAGGAGGGGACTTTCAGGTACCTGGTTCACCTGGTAACTTACCGGGCAGCCACTGGGAAGTCAGCCTACATTACCCCATCTGTGAAAAGAGGAAGGAAGAAGGGCTTTCTTTGCCATATAGAAAAAAATGTAAGGCCCCCTAACTGTAAATTTTAAACTGCTCTTACTACAGAAGCACTAACTGTTCATTGCAAAGTAGAGTATAGATCGATGGGGATACCTGTTTCAGAGAGTCCGCCGTTTAGTCCTTGAAATACCCGCTTTTAAATGATTGTTTCAGCTCTCATGTGTACACATAGACGCGTACTTGCAGTCATAAACATAGAAAACATATTTTTACCTTCACATATGTAGGAGAGGCACCTCTGTTCTTTATCCAGCTCCTAGAAAAGTGCTCAGCCCATAGCAGCTGTTAGTAAGTACATGCTGAGTGAATTATCAGTTTATAAGATGTTTGCCACTTACAATATAAACGGTTGAGAAGCAGTTATTGTTCGTCTACATCATTATTAACAGCCAAATAGTATTTCTTCTACTTAGCGTTCTAAGTATAGGAAAACATTCTACAAAAAAAATCAGAGTATTTTGTAGGTTAATAGGTAATTGGGGACTACAGAAAGTGTGCACGGGAGAAGATCTGTTTTGACATTTCTTGGAGTTACATAATTAATAATGACTGTCCTGTGGTTTTTTTCTTGCAGTTTTTTTTTTTGTATTTTCCAAAATTTCCATAACACATACGTTACGGAAATTGTAATAACTATGAGAAATATACCATATGAATGCTTAGTAATAACACATAGTATTTCTGTGTTGTAACAGCTTCTAAATGGCATTACTCTAAAATGTCCATATTTGTTCATTCTTCTGTCAGACTATGCTCCTAGAAGCACGAGTGTTTCGAGGACTTGCTTCCACGGTTTCTCTCTCTGCAGAATCAGGGAAGAGTGAAAAGGGACTGCCACCGAATTCCAAGAGGCAAAGTCCACCAAAAAGTAAGATTTTAATGGTAGTCGTAAGGGAAAGAGAATGCAAAGCAAATAAATCAGTGTGCTTTCCAAGCATGAAAAGTTTTACTAACTACGTAATTTGATTCTTCATTTCCAGCAGTGTCCAGATTATAATCAGACATAAGATCTGTGATGGATTTTAGACCAAACATATCAGTCATGTAACAGTCTTTGACTCAATATTTAGTCCCGAACCAGTTCTGCTTGTGTTTTCTAAGTGCCATACTCTAACACGCAGCAAGGGGATGCGGAGTGCAAAGGCGGGGGCATTTAGATGGCCCAGGTACAGATCCCACACTCCCATGGTAGCTCTGAACTCCACCTTGCTTTTCTTTTTAAAAAAAATTTTTTTTTTAAGATATTATTTATTTGAGAGAGAGAGAATGAGAGACAGAGCATGAGAGAAAGGAGGGTCAGAGGGAGAAGCAGACTCCTGCTGAGCAGGGAGCCCAATGTGGGACTCGATCCCGGGACTCCAGGATCATGACCTGAGCCGAAGGCAGTCGCTTAACCAACTGAGCCACCCAGGCGCCCCCACCTTGCTTTTCTTCCCCCAGTTGTGGCTTTTCTCAGCGTCTCTGAAACTCAGATGTGGCTTCCCAGGCTTTGGTTGGCCATGGTCCAGGGTTGCAGGCATCTTTTTATGACCGTGGAGAGGGAGTTAAGGGCAGGCACCGTTCTCCATTACAACTTACTTTGATGAAGCATGATGTCTGATCTGTTTCCAGCTCTTTTCATAGTCATTTTGATTGTTATTGCTGGTTTTTACTTTTTTTTTTTCCCTCCTGAATACCAATGTAGCATATCCTCATGGAAGGAAAATAGAAAGTGTGACAGTATATTTTAAATACTTCTAGGAATTTTATTTTCTACTCCCTGTTCATTACTAAAAACTGATTATAGGGGCATCTGGCTGGCTCAGTCCCTGGAGCATGCGACTCTCCGTCTCCAGGTTGTGAGTTTGAGCCCCACATTGGGTGTAGAGATTACTTAAAATCTTAAATAAAAAAATGAAAGATGTATATGTACAGTCTCTGCAAACCTTTGACTTTTATATGTGGTTCAGAATGATAATTTGAGTTTGTCTTATTTTCATCATTTACCATTTCCTCAGTTTGAATATTTGAAAGTGCTTAGATATTTTTTGTTTTATCCCTCCTTGGAGTACACACAAAACCACTGGTAGCATTTAAAATATTGGCCCAGTTGAGTGTGCTAGCCCCTGACTGCCTTTCATGCCCCATCGATTGAGGAAACACCCCTTCCTGATGGTGGCTCATTGCCTGGAGGCCTGAATTCAGCTCAGGTGAATTCTTTTTAACTCAGAATGTTCTATTCTGTTTAACTCAGTCCAGTTTTAAATCCAGTGTTCTTTCTTTTTTTTTTTTTTTAACGAAACCAGAGTGCCATGATCACTCCTAAAAAAACGTTTACAGCCAGAATATCGGTTCAGTTATGCATTATGCCTGGCACATTTTTGACATTCTTTCACTGTTTACTGATGATTAGTTGCATCTCATTACTAATGTTATCGCTGCCTTTGGTGAATTTTAGTCTTGTATCTGCTCTCCTACCTCCTAGGTTTATGACACTGAACTAATGAATGAGTGGAATGGGGTGCTGGGTCATGGGACAGTTTTGGGTGCAGTTATGAGAAGGGAGCACTGAGCTGGGAGTTGGGCTTGGGCCTGTGTCGTTTCCGCCCTTGGACGCAGTACCTCCCTGCCAGAGCGGGGCCAGCGCGAGATGCGCGTGTGTGCTGTGTCCATCATACAGTGCTTCCAGGTGGGAAGACAGGATCCAGAACCACACTGTCTCTAATGCACATTACATTTATGTCCCATAATTTTTTTTTTTAAAGATTTTATTTATTCATCTGAGAGACACAGACGCAGGGAGAGAGGCAGAGGGAGAGGGAGAAGCAGGCTCCCTGCCGAGCCAGGAGCCCGATGCGGGGCTCGATCCCAGGACCCTGGGATCATGACCTGAGCCGAAGGCAGATGCTCAACCATCTGAGCCACCCAGGCGCCCCTGTGTCCCATAATTTAAAAATAATTTTAGGGGCGCCTGGGTAGCTCAGTCGTTAAGCGTCTGCCTTCGGCTAAGGTCATGATCCCGGGGTCCTGGGATCGAGCCCCGCATCGGGCTCTCTGCTCGGCAGGAAACCTACTTCTCCCTCTCCTACTCTCCCTGCTTGTGTTCCCTCTCTTGCTGTCTCTCTCTCTGTCAAATAAATAAATAAAATCTTTAAAAAAAAAAAAAGACAAAAACTATCATTATAAAAAAAGTTATAATAATTTTAATCCGTGTATGAAGATGCTTCTAAATTGACATGTGCAGGTCTCCATGTCTACCTGAAGTGTCAGTACTTAAAAGACCGGTTGAGTGTCAGATGCACAAATGCTTTTTGCCTGCTGGTGGCACATTGCCAGCTTAAACCCCTGTCCACTCTCAGTGGCTTTGGGAGCTCTAACAGAAGTTGCCTGCATGCAGACTGGTCCCTGAGCACTCACCCTTAGGGTCCCATCTCTAGTCAAAGGGACTGCCTCAGAGTCAGGAGCCGGGTATTACAGAACGCCTTCTGCCTCATTCTCTCTGGAGCTCCAGCTTCTTGTGGCCTGTGCTTCCTTCCTGCGGGGACCCACCAGTACAGATAAGAGTCCAGGGTCTCCTGGTAGGTCCCCCCTCCCACAGAACTGCCTGGCTCCCTGGCTTTGATGTTCCTTTGAATCCGGGCACTAGGCTGAGGCTTACCACAATCTGTATTCAGTCATTGCTGTGTCGCTTTTTAAAGAATCTGCCAGGAAGCCAAAGTTAATTATCCATTTCAAGTCCTTATTTCAGTTTGAAACGTGAGGAATCTCTGGAAATAGGGATTCTTTGTATTTAATCCTAACCAACGGTGCCAGGCACTGTTCCATGCACTCCATATAGTCTCTTGTCTGGTCCTCACAACCCCGTGAGGTAGATAGTAGTATCCCTGCAACGTAGATGAGAAAGTAGAGGGAAGAGAGCCGTGAGCTACTCAGGGTCACACATATGTCAGTAGCGGAGCCGGTCATGAACCCAGGTAGTAAGCCCCCACTGTCTGTGTTTTTAATCACTGTGCTGTCTTGCCTCTGAAAAAAAATCTAGATTCTCATGTATTCATTAAAAAAAAAAAAAAACTTTATAGCCCTGTACATCTAAAAAAAAGCTTTTAATTAGCATATAAAATTTGAGTAACTGATTCCTTCATGTTGTCAAAATGTGCGTTTGTTTTTGAATATGCTTTGTTTCCAAGATGAGTTTTGCGACCCAGTGAGAAGATATGGACGAATTCTAAGGTGGCTAATCCATTTCAAACACCAATAGTCATTTTTGCCTTTAATAGGGAGACTACTAGGGGTGCCCGGCTGGCTCAGT